TTTAGGTTGTCTGTCCATCCAGTTACAACTTTACACTTTTCTCCCTGGGTGTTGAGAAAGTTTGCAAACCCTGTTTTGTTCTCCTTGTTAAACTGATTCCCACCCAAGTTATTAATTGACCTACAGGTGACAGTAAATTGTACTTGGTTTGTATTGTGCATTTGCTGTTAAAAAAAAAAGCACCAAAATGAGCATGTGTGCTCGTCTTCCTCCGGCAGGTGTTAAGTGGTGTATATAAGCACAGTACCAAGTCAGGTCATCTAGGGAGTCAGGTAGTGGCAATGTGGTCAAATGCTGCTCAGTGGTTGGTTTTCCAAACACATGATGCACAATGAAGTTAATATTTCTGGGATTTTTTCCTAAATGCCAGGGGGATGCCATTATCTTTGTTAATGTAATTACATTTAGCTTTTAATATAATTTGAGCATTCATTTGAGTCTTGCAGTTTGTTGAGGATTTGTTGTTTTAAGCATTTCTTGTTTCTTGAGCTTTCAACATCATGTCTTGGTGTAGTACTGCCTCTACGGTATTTTACATGGGGGTACTTTCTGCTTTTGAAGCAACCAGACCTCAAGCAGGCACAGTTGTGAAGCCTGTTAACTGTTCTCCTGCCAAAAATGGTGTTGCACACCACATCTGAGTGTGCTGAGGCATTGATTAGCCAGGAGTGATGGGAATGAATCACTCAGCTGAGAAATTACTTACTTGCTTTTTATCTCTTCTTCTGTTTTTTGTCTCCTGTTCTTAAAAGGTGATTTTTCATTACATCTTACCGCATAATATTGTGTCAGAGACACATGAACACACTCTTTTTCATACAGACACACATTAGCATGAGTGAGTGAGTCAGAGGAAGTGAGAGGTTGCCAGGCCGTCTCTCAGAGTCTGTGTAGCTTTACCTAACATACGCACGGTTCATACGTAGGTAGGTTCCCTGATCTTTACAGAGTTATGTCACTGACTTTGCCATAACATCGATGATACCACACTGCGTCACATTCTGCTAAAGCGAAGGGGGGATAAACCACAACCGCTGCCTGATTGCTGCTAAAGACAAAAGGGTTTTGCGTAAGTCAAGATGCATACTGTGAATACGAGATTATATTGATCAACTGATATGAATCAGAGAATTCAGATGGAAAAGAAAAAATGTAGTTCCAGTAATTATTACTACTTTTCAATGAAGTTTGGAAGAGTTGGTAAATTAAAAAAATGATGTTCAGGTTAATAAGTGTAACTTGTAACTGTAAATTCAGCTTACTTACAAACATTTGTATGCATGTTTTAATATTTGTTAGAAAAAGATAATTTAAAACAGGTTTATCCATAAGTCAAGTTGTACATTTCTGTCACTACTGGGTTAAGGGGTCAACGCTCTCCAAATACTGAGCCGGCTGCTTTACAGGAAACTGAGCATAGTGCACCCACTAGTGGCTCAAAGGCACACCTTCAATCTGAACAACCTCAGAAGAATCTAGACAGAAAAGAAGCTGGACTGATAAAAAATAATTGACACAGAAAAGGAGAATAGGAAAGACACTTGAGGATAGGAAGAAGCAAATGGGTGTATTAATAAAAAAAGGATATACAATATGTATGTGAGAAAGAGATACCCACAGAGCTCTAAGACGCTAATCCTCCAGTGTCATGGTGTCAGTAGGAGGTAGAGAGGCTTCCCTTCTGCCCCTGAACGAACAATAAAATCAAACACACACTGGCAATAACACACTCATACAGAAACATATGTGCATCAGTGTGTAAAGCATGTGTGTGACATATCAGCATCAACTGTGCTTAACTGTAGATAATAGCATTTGTAGGTTGCTGCTGTGTGTGTGTGTGTGTGTGTGTGTGTGCGCTCTGAGGCAGCCTCTGGGAAAGCATAGCTCTTCAACACATTGCAGAGAGACATCCCCCGCTGTTATTTCTGGTTTCTTTATATATTATGCAGTGAGCTATTATATAAAGAGCTGCCTCCTCTCTTTCTTATTTATTTTTTTCTCGCATCCTACCTCCCTGCTTCTGGTTCTTTCCCTCAGTGGGAGGATAATCCGGAATCCTCTCGGGGAAGCTTTGATCTCCCCCTCATCTTTCCAAACTCGTCCACACACACAACAAACACACATCGGACCGAGAGGCTCTCTGGGAACTTCTGTTTACAGTTTCCCATGGATTTGGATTGGCTCTGAAGTGCCAAGAACTATGGATGTTTTCTCAGTAGCGAAGCATTGCAGCCGTCCTCAATGTGTTTTCACAAACAAATGTCGTGACTAAATTGACAAAAGCACAAACGTGCGTTGAAATTGGCCAGTGGTACTGATGTAACAGTATATTCCAGTCAGGTGGCCCTAGCCTTGTACACTGCAGCAGTATCAACACCTGCTCCAAGGACAGCCCATTGATTGTGCCAGCAAGGCAGACAGACAGAGAGATTGATGACTGTGTTGGCAAGTGGCAGCCGGGAGAGAAATTGACATGTAAGTGGTGGAGAGTGAGGGAGAGGTGGAGCGGAGGGAGGGGGAGGGAGGGGAGTGGGGGGGGGGGATTTTCAGTCTGCACATCGGTGGATGCGAGCAGAGGCGATGTGTGTGGTGTGTCCTCGTGACAGCTCAGCAGCTACACCACATGTCTGCCTGAGAAGGAAAGGGGGAAGCCTCTTCTCTCTTCCTTTCAAAACAGCCTTACACTGGCTGCCTGATGCTGTTGCCATGGCGTTGGGGTGTTCTGGTAATTGGCATATACACTTACTCACAGGCAGAGAGAGAAACCTGTGGGCTGTGGTCACCTAAATTGGGGGAGGATGCAATTATCTCCCATCTCCCATCTCTTTTTTTCCCTTTTTTTTTTCCTTCTCTGACCGTCTTCCCCACTCTCTTGTTGTCTCTCGGTTGTTAAAAATAGCTTTCCACAGACACCCTGACAGCACCTAATGTTGGGATTGGGATGCAGATAATGAACAGGCTTATGAGTTCTCCACAATGGCCGCTACACTCGGGGATGTCAGGAGACAACAGAAGACTCAAAAGAGGGAGAGGGGGAGAGGAGTGGATGATAATAGACATAATGGTGATAAAAATACAGTCGCAGTGCATTCACATTCTTCAGAACGTGCCCCATCCCCTTTCCCAACCCTCATTGTTTTACTGTAAAGGGGAGGCATAGCTGTATGGCTCCATGTCATTCCTTCACAATGGCTTATTTAAAAAATTATTACAAGGGATGGGAATTGAAGAGGATGGGGTTTTTCTGCAATGGTTGCACAGCTGGAAAAAAAAAGAGAAGAGAAGAAAAGTTGTACACCTGGAATCCAAGTCTGGATATTATATGGCACTCACTTAAACATCCCTTCAGAACCTCATGTATACACCAACGCCAAGCTGTAATTAGGGCTCCCCCTTTCTCCCCACTTTCTGTCAAATCATGTGTTCTGAATAGAGCGTGTTGCTGGGGCTGGCAGACTACAGCAGGGGAAAAAAGAGACAGAAGAGGGAGGGAGGGGATGAAAAGAGAGAGAGAGAGAGAGAGAGAGAGAGAGAGAGAGAGAGAGAGAAGCAGGTTAGGAGGGGGAGTGAGCGCTACAGCAGTGAGAGCAGCGAAGCAAGACAAATCCAGTGGAGGAACCCCCCCTCCAGTCAGATGAACATCGCTGCCTCACTCCCTCCTCCTCCTTCTCCTCCTCCTGTCTCCATCGCTGTTTTTTTCCCCTCCTCCTCCTCCTCGCTTCTTCTCCATTATTCATCAGTGTGCTGAGAGTCCCCAGCACACGGCTCCAGCCGATCCACCGAGCCTGCTGGATCTCCTCCTCACATAGCCTGGCTACTGCTCCTACTTTATCCTACGTCCATTCGTCCATACCAAGGCATGGAGACTCAGAGCTGGCCCTTTTCTGCTGCTAAGAGGGAGAGTGAGCCGTCATCAAGCTGCTCTCTTAGCCGCTGAGAAGAGAAACACTAGAGGAGATAAGAGAGGATTTTTTTGTCCTTTTTGGTGCTGAAAGAATCCTGTTCGTCTGCCTCTTTTTTTTCCTATTGGATTACAGTTCTGGCTTTGTGTAGGAACGAGAAAACGGGGTCCAAAATGCCTGAAGCCAATTACCTGCTGTCGGTGTCTTGGGGTTACATTAAGGTGTGTGGCGCTTATCTACGTAGCTTGTCGGGATAACACGCTCCTTTCATTGTATCTCTCTCTGCTGCGTTGCTGTTACATTAAGGGCCAATTCTAAAGAAATTAAGATTTTTGATAATATCTGCTGTTTTTGTGGAGCTTTTCAGGATACTATGCTAGCCTAATTGCACCAAAAGATATTTCTGTCATGGTGAGGGGGGGTCTGACAGAATGGTGTTTTGTGGCTCAGGCTCCATCTTGAGCTCTCTGCAGAGCCGTGTGTCTATTTGTATGTGTGTTAGTGTGTATGTGTGTGCACGCGCATGCATCAGTCTGTCATAAACAGCTGCTACTGCAGTGCCTGGGTCTCCGTGTACTGTCAAATGCATCCGTCTCCCTCAACTGTTTCATCTATTTAAAACTGTTGTTAATATAAAGTACATGAATATCACCAAAATGCTGGAACAAAGAGGAATGTAGGGAGCAGTGTGCAGATTTTCCTCTTGACATCATTGAAATTCTTGCACACTGACGTACGTAAAACAGCTAAATAGGCCCCAAAAATGTGATTCAGTGTAATAAAACTGTAAATTGGTTGCAGGGGGTGATTTGAGGGGCATTAAAAGGTGATGGCCTCCCCACTGGTAACACAAATAATGATCCGCACCCTAATTAATTACAGGGAAAATGGAGGGGAAAATAAGATGTGTCCCCCCACTGATTTTACGCTGTAATTAAATAATATTCTTGAGCTGGTTGGAATAATACTGGGTACTGCTGTATTTTCCATGGAATCCTGTAACATAGTTTCTCCCAGGTTTTCCCTCAGTGGAAACTGACGACATTTTTTCTCCCTCTCTCCCCCCTCCCCCCTTTTCCTATTTCTCCCTTGCAGTTCAAGAGAATGTTGAATCGGGAGTTGACGCACCTATCTGAGATGAGTCGGTCTGGGAATCAGGTTTCCGAATTCATCTCCAACACCTTCCTAGGTAAATGAAAGTCTTGTGTACATGAACTCAAAATCACACCAACACGTTCACCAATTTGATCCTTATAATCCACCTAAAATCACCACAGACTATAATTATGACCCGTATGTTCACCAAAAATACAAATATAAGCACACATTTTGTGGGTTACGCAGATCCCCATCCCTCTGTTTTGCTGCAATGTGGAGGTTCAGTCTTTTACATGTTAAGCTGTGCAAGTTGCTCTGGCAGGCTTTTCTGTGGGGGCGTTCCATAAAACACTGCGCCATTAAGCTTTGTCTAGATGTTTATTGCATCGGGCTCAGAATGGCTATTAAAATTGAAGTAATAAATACATTTTTCCAAAAGTATTATTATAATAAAAAATTATTTAAGATGGCTTTCTACTGTGAGAAGTGTCATTTGACTGTCAAGGGAGCTTGTTAGCTAGAATCAGAGTAAGTGGATTGGAACTGGATGCTGTCAGCATGGGTTGCATGTTTTAAGTCTGAGAATGGATGGCCATACTTCAATATATATGTATTTATATTATCTTTAGAACCATTGCATCTGCTATTTTTTGGCACCCACATGTACAGAATGTTTCTTGACCCTGGTATCAAACCACACTATTAATTTAATTAATTCAACGAAATAATCTAAACCAGGACCAGTGAGACAATCGACCGATTTTTCCCGAATGGATTAAAAGTTCTGTAGGGTTAGTTAAGATTATTTATAGACACTGTGCTTCCGATCGATTGGCATCCTGATCCGGTGTAGTGCTGTTGGCGGATCCCTCGCCACCGGATCATAGAGAGCGAGAGGAGGGGTGAGGAAAGACGGAGAAGAAGCAAAGGAGGGAGGGTGGGAGGGAGCTGACTGCAGTGAAGGAGAAAATAGAGGTACAGAGGAACCCCCTTTGCTGGCAGTGAGATGAGCTCAGCAGATTGGGTGACTCATCACCGTCTTAATGCATCTTTGTCAGTAGGGACACCTTGTTGTCCCTCCACCTCTCTCCCCCCCCCTCTGCCCCGAGAATCCAGACATAGATCACTATCGCTACAATAAAGAAATCAGGATAACCCCGCTGGCGGTAGAAAGAAAAAACAGGTAAACATTAATAAAGAGTGGTGTAAAAAAAAAAAAAAAAAGGCTGAATCAGCTGGCCTGGTTTGACCTCAGCTGACCAGTTGGGCTGTTTAATCCTTCCATCCATTTAGATTAGTATCACATCAGTAATGCACTTATTTCTGCTTTATATTATCTTTTATAAAAGCATCCATTCAGGGTCAGATAAAATGACATTTTCCTGCCATATGCCTGGTTCTGCAGAGGTCATTCTTAGATGCAACGCAAATTCAAATTTGAAATGTTTCACCTGATGGTGTGGCGGACAATTGATCGAGGTTGATTTCAGACCAGGTTTTCTGACTTTGCATTAAGGATTGTTGGCCGGCAGCCATTCACGTGTGCCTCACAGCATAATTCTGTCATAATTCCCTTTGATCGTCCAGCAGCAGAACACACCTAGTTTAGGGAATATACTGAGGGAAAAGCACCCCCGCCCCCCTCTTCCTCCCCTCCCTCCCTTCCACTGCATCTCTCACAGGAGAGCATATGGAGGAGGATGAAAAAGACTCTGATGAAATCGAAATAAACGTGGGAGGTGACAGAGGAGCGAGAAAAGTAGAGAAAGAACAGAGAAAGAGGAAAGATTTTTTTTTAAGTTTATCTGCTTAAATTTTAGGAGGGGCAATCTGCATTTAAAATGTGAAAGAAGAAGAGATAAGACATGATGAGACAAGCTAATTGCGAAGGAGAGGAGGGAGGGAAAAAAAAACTAAGAGGAACTATCCATGTGACTGGCTGACACATTGCAGGCCAAACTGCGACACAGAGACTTAATCTGGTGAAATATGGAAACCAGGATCACTATGACTGTGCTAAAAGCCCTCCTGAGCAGTTTATCAGTCATGTCAAGTCAACTGTGGAACAGAGTGCATACCGTTTACTGTATATTGCCACTTACTTATGTAGGATGATGGAAATGGATGATAAGAATGACACTACAAACTTGTCTGTCTCACAAATCTGATCTCTCACATACACACACACACACATATATACAGACCACACAAAAACCACACAGCAGTGGTGATAATGATGGCTTGTAATAAATTAGAGGGCAATATATTGCTCTGCCCCTTGTTTCCCACGCAGCACATGTCTGAGAGCGCTTAATTGCCCATTCTCAATTACCACTGGAGGACTGAAGAGAGCGAGAGACAGAGAGAAAAGAAGAGAAAACAGTGCAAGAGAGAGGGAGAGCATGAGAGTGAAAGTGATTATTTGAATTACAGCTGGTAATTGAATAACCCTCCACAGGGGAAGGCTGATAGGCCAGCGATGAGCTGAGTCGAGGCTTGATAGATGAGCGCGCGGTGCACATACATGCCGATAGCCGGTCCCTGCAGGGTCTCATTCAATTCTTCTGTGATTGCAGTAAACAGTAAGGGCCTGGTTGGTTATTCTAAGAAACTTGGCACGTTTTGTGTATTTATTTTTGGATTAATTGTGAAGCGTGGCATATTATTTATAATAGTTTTTTCAAAGGAATATTACATGAAAGCCATGCAATTTTCAGTGTATTTTTGGACTTCGTATTCACTATATTTATGGGCAGACCAAGCATAAAAAATCCCACTCTAGACTAAGTGATTTGATAAAGCTGCGAAAGATGTGGCAGCTTATTGAATGGCCGACTTCATGGAGCTGCCTTAACTGTGTAGAAGCCCCAGCACTCAGTCTGTCAATGGACTGACCTATGAGAGTGAAAAGAACAGGAGATGAGATGTGAGACACCTGCTGAGAGAGGGGGGGGAGGGAGGGAGAGGGACAGAGACGAATGAACAGTAGGAGCTCAGAGAGAGACTGCAGGTGGACGACAGGGAGCATGAATGAACAAATGAATGGAGGGACAGATGATGAATGAGTGAGTGAATCGATAAATCCCTCAGGAATTACCCAGCTGCAGGTGTTTCTATAGTGCACCTGGGTCCTCAAGCAGCCCACGCATTGAAATCGCTTTTTATTGAGAAATAGATTACTCATGCTGAATGAAGTTTAATGGAAATTTTAAGCACTTCTTCCTCACAATGTTCACACTTTTGTTAAAAAAAACCCCCAACAAATCTCTTATTTTCCCCTCCCTCAGACAAACAGAATGAGGTGGAGATCCCGTCACCGACGTCCAAGACGCGAGAGAAGAAGAAGCAACAGAAGCAGCAGCTGATGACACAGATCAGTGGGGTCAAAAAGGTCTCTCACGGGCCCTCACTCTCCAGCAGTAGCATCTCGCGCTTTGGCGTCAAGACTGATAAGGAGGAGCTGCTGTCCAAGGAGCTGGAGGACCTCAATAAGTGGGGCCTGAACATCTTCACTGTTTCAGAGTACTCTCACAACCGCCCACTTACCTGCATCATGTACGCCATCTTCCAGGTACGAAGCATCTCCAAATACATAATTGTTGCCTTCTAATTATATTTTTTTAATTACTGATAAATTAATTAATTAATTATTAATTATATTATGATGTTTTTCTAGGAGCGGGACTTGTTAAAGACATTTAAGATCCCCATGGATACGTTTGTGGCCTACATGATGACGCTGGAAGATCACTATCATTCAGATGTTGCCTACCATAACAGCCTGCATGCTGCTGACGTAGCCCAGTCCACACACATCCTCCTCTCCACTCCGGCCCTGGATGTAAGTTACAATATAAAGTCTCAGTTGTACTTGTTTTTAGTAATTGGTGTACAGCTTTCAACTCTGGAGGTACAAAAACCCCACCTCTGACTTGGACACCAGTGTGAATATACAGAAATAAGGGAAAACTAAATTAGAAGAGTGAGCTCTGACATCACCCCATGTGCCACTTTCCTGGATAGCCACACCAGCTTTGAAGAGCTCAACATCTTTCCATTGAATCATCTTTTCCCCCTCTCTGCCTGCTTCATTTTACTCAAGAGAATATCCCTTTCTTTCCTCCAACACTCGTCCCTCCGTGCCCTATTAGATTTTTCCTGCATGCATTTTCTTGCAGCTCTCCTTAAGTTGGAGTATCTGTTAAGACACTGCACAGTCAGGTCTTCAGATCATGATTTACCCTTTCTGGTCCTCTATCTTTCATCTATCAAAGCCAGCAGACACACTGTTACCCTCTCTCACAGTGACATTTTACAGAAAGGCAGCCTTTCAGAAACAACTCCATTTCTTCAAATTACGGTTGAAAATCAGATGCTAACAGCGACCCTGGGTCTGTTATCCCTCACATACGGCTCTGGAAATCAATAGTTTGTGGGCAGATGCTATGTTGATGCTATTTTTATCCTCAGAAATAGTTAAATGTTCTTATTTCCCTCCCTCTCTCCCTTTCACAGGCGGTCTTCACAGATCTTGAGATCCTAGCAGCCATCTTTGCTGCAGCTATCCATGATGTTGACCATCCTGGAGTATCAAACCAATTCCTAATCAATACCAGTAAGTCAAAAATATTACTCAAGACATATAGTAATAACACTATAAATAATAAATATATAAATCATGCATTTGTTGCTTTCTTCAAAAAATGAATAAATTGGTGCTTTCAACAACCACACAGAAGAACTCGTATCAAAGATTAAAATATGAAAATCTCTTTTTAACACCTTCCCAGACTCTGAGCTGGCGCTGATGTACAACGACGAGTCTGTGCTGGAGAATCATCACTTGGCTGTGGGATTTAAGCTACTGCAGGAGGATAACTGTGATATCTTCCAGAACCTCACTAAGAAGCAGCGGCAGTCCCTGCGCAAGATGGTCATCGACATGGTAAGATATCCTGATTCCTATTCTTTTCTCTTCTAATGTGATCTCAATTTAAACCATAACCTGTCCTCACAATCCTGATGCTGACAATGTTTTTCTCTTTTATTCAGGTTTTGGCCACTGACATGTCCAAACATATGAGTCTGCTGGCTGATCTGAAGACTATGGTGGAGACTAAGAAGGTGACAAGCTCTGGAGTGCTGCTGCTGGACAATTACACCGACAGGATACAGGTTAGTGTTGTTTTTTTAACCTCTTCTTAACTTAAAGTGTGATAATCACAACAAAAAACGTGCATTATATAGACGCGAGTTACTGGACATACCGTAAGCCCTGCACCTCTCTTTCACCTGCTTTTAATAGCTCTGATCAATAGCCAGTAATGGCGGAGGTTACTCAGCCAGTGATCATTAGCCGGCCTCCTACATAGCTGACCTCTGCTCCCTCTGTCACTCCTTTTCTCACTCCATCCATCTTCTTTTTACCTTTAAGTGCTCCCCACACTTTCCCTCTAATGGTCTTTCTAGGATTTCGTCTTTATTAGGCTGTTGTGTTGACTGACCTTCTTTCATAACAAAGAAAGCACATTATAGAATTAGCCTTAAATATCTGTTCTATAAGAATATAATTTATCTTAAATCTAATTTTGGTAAAGTAATCACAGTAACCATACTAGGCTGTATTGTTTTTAGCATATTGGATTGTACATGGGAGTAGCTCAGTGTTTTAAGAGCTTCTGAGTATCTACATGATTAAATCTAAAAAAGTAGAAAAATAAAAAGTGGAAAAAAGCAAAATTTTGAGATTCTCAGGGGAAATAACAAAAACTGAAAATGATAAGCCCAGTACAGCGGAAACAGGCATTTACTAATCTGCAATTCTGTATTATTTATAGGTGCTGCGTAACATGGTGCACTGTGCTGACCTGAGTAACCCAACTAAGTCCCTGGAGCTGTATCGTCAGTGGACTGATCGGATAATGGAGGAGTTCTTCCACCAGGGAGACAGAGAGAGGGAGAGGGGAATGGAGATCAGCCCTATGTGTGACAAACACACAGCCTCAGTGGAAAAGAGTCAGGTACGCAATCACGGACATAGAAACTGGGTTATGCACAAACGTGGATTTAGAAATTCACATACACGCATCAAAATGTTCTCAATTCCAGTTCTAATTTGTTTCCTTGCTCCTTTCCAGGTGGGTTTCATCGACTACATTGTGCACCCTCTTTGGGAGACCTGGGCCGATCTGGTCCACCCAGACGCCCAGGACATTTTGGACACGCTGGAGGACAACAGGAACTGGTACCAGAGCATGATCCCCCAGAGTCCCTCCCCGCCCTTCTATGACCAGGGCACGCACGGACATAGCGGAGGCACTGGGGGGCAGGGAGGCGGGGAGAAATTTCAGTTTGAGCTGACCTTGGAGGAGGAGGACTTGGATGGAATAGAGAAAGATGGTGAGGAGGAGGAGGAAGATGAAGAGGAAGAGTTAGAAGAAGAGGAGGATAGTCTAGGAGATTCTCGTTCTCCTCCCCTGGACTATTTGGACAGTCAGGAGCATGATGAGGGCAGCACAATGGAGCCCACGATGGCAATAGAGATCGTGACACACGAGGCGTCACCAACAGACACATAGGGCTTCCATCATCAGGCTCACATGGTGAATTGAAAGTTTTTGGAAAAAAGAGGGGAGATCCTCTTGCAGCTGTGCTTTTTAATAAGCCCACAGAAGCAAGGGCTTAGTTTCGTCCCGCACGGGGGCGTCTTGCACTTGGGTGTTTGAAGCCAGACACGGACGGACAGTTTCAGTGAAGCGGCTTCAGAGTTCTCAGGAAATAATTACTGCGAACATTTTAAGTCTTGATGGACAGCCGAGACTGAGAGTGGAGCTTGAAGGATTTCGGCCAGTTTGGAAAATGGTTACTTTTCTTTTCTGGACTGGCATTAAATGGACATTGACACTACTGAGAGAAGTTTTGTACCTTAAGACTTTTTTACAGATATGATATGATCTAGAAGTAGCATAGAGTAAGATCTACTGATGGAGACACATTTGTATAGCAAGAGAAAGTGTTTACTTTTTTCCTGTACCATTTGTCAAAGGACTTTTGTGTGCCTTTTTTACTATTGTCTTTATAATAGTTTTTTATTTATTGAACACTCTAGTATGTCTGTGAAATGTTTTTTTTTTTTCTTATCTGAAAGAGCAAAATCTTTTTTGTATGTTAAAAAAGATCAGTCTTCCATGTATTGGGCAATAGAGAAATCCAAACAAACGTCGACAAACAACTCTTGGACAAACTCATCTGAATAGGGAAACATCAACACCTACATTATACGCACATTTTGTCACATTTGTTTTTCAATCTGAGCACAATGCTTTTCTTTACACAGAGAATTCAAACGTTTATGTTCCGTCATGGTTCATGTTACATGTTTAATTTGTTGCTCTCTATATCAGATGTCGGTCAATGAATGTCTGAAATACATCATCTATTTTCATACTCCATCTTTTCTCTTTTCCTTTGTAACAGTCTGCAGACCATTGGGGCTTCCTACATTTTCACACCAAAACTTGACTATTGATGCAACATGCTCAGCAATTATATGGCCAAGTATTCCTGCTAAATATTCAGTAAAATTATTGGGACATTGCAATTATACGATTTCGTCTTTTCATTTTTGCATCCGGTTGTTGTCATGTTGGTGTGAAATAGAGGTTAGTCCGGTTCAAACCCTAATAACCTACAGCCAGATGAAATGAGCAGAAATACAAGCAGGTCTAAAAACATCCAGCTCGTGACGACTAGCTGCTTAGTTCTATGGAAGAATGAGAAATGAAGTCTGTCAAGGACGAAATGCACAACAGCGGTGAATCTATTTTTAGCCCACAGGTATGCTGCAGTCTTAATAATCCTGTTAGTTGGAACAGGTCCCGACCCCAGACCCATCTGATGTAATGTCCCCCTGCCCCTCCGCAATCAGGCCCAGACCAGATGATTAAAGGTGCTCTTACAGCTGCCTGTCTGAAAGGCACTCTCATACCCTCATCAGCACCACTATTCACATGGTTTACAAACCCCTCTGGGCTCCACGGACACGACCCCAAAACAATCAGGCCAGCTATTTTCTTCCTCACGATAAAAATCCCTCAAGTGCGGCGTCTGTTCATTGACGTCAATTCAATTTTGTCCCTTCCCCCTCCACTGTATCAGGTTTCCAGGACAGCCGGGTTATTGGGATTTGGCACAGATGGAAATGCTGGATTCTAGACTGTACCCATATGACAAAGGTGCTCTAGTTTTAAAACAAACCAAAAAACACCTCTTTGTTTCTTCTTTAATGTGTTGGAGAATATTGTTTGAAAATGGTTTGCAGACTTCACATTTCTGCTCCTGTGGCTTCCACAATTTCTTTATAGATGTTCTAGTTGCATCTATAATCAAATTCCTCCATTTTCATATTGGTTTACTGGTATACTCATAGGTACTTCATCTAATTTCACTCCAGCATGCTTAAGTGGCAATCGTTTGTGTGCAGTATGTATGTATGGAAGGTTTTGTATGTGTGTGTGTGTGTGTGTGTGTGTGTGTGTGTGTGTGTGTGTGTGTATTTCTGTACGTCTGTGTGTGTTTGGATGTGCTGACTTTGTCATCAGGCCTTACCCCTCATCACTCCACACCTTTGTCTCTACTGTTTGTTGCTAGGAGCTCAAGTTGGTCCTTTTTGCTGTTTATAACAGTGTGTATTTATTCTATACTTTAAGCTTGTAAATAAGAAATACTGGTTCAGTGTAAAATCTATTTTAATTTATATGCACTTGCATTACCTGGAAGTGGTGGTGTCTAATGTGTATTAGACTCTGGATTAGAGTCTTTTTATATATGTATTATATATTGTTTTTATATAAATATATATATAAAATATATATAAGTATATATTCGCACAATGTTTTGAGTGCCCAGCAGAGCAGCAGCTAAAGAGACATTTTGTTGTTGTCACATGAAAACCTTGTAACTCCAAAGTAATCTTTTTAATGTAACGTTATATTAAGCTTATTATGCATGAATATTAAACCAACATTGTTTCTCACTTTGGCTTCACTTTGAAATTTTAATTTAAATCATGGTATTTTTCATATTTGAAAAATTTGTCTTAAATTTCAGCTTAGTTGTATTTCATAAATAATAGCCCAAATTGAAAAATAAAATGAGGACTTTGAATGTCCTCATTTTGTTTCTTAGATAACTTTTTTTTTGATGGAAAACAATTTTTGATCCAACTGAGTTTTTGAAGCTACGAGGTTTTCATTTGACAGCAGCATATTTGGTAACCCCGAGGCGACATAGAGGACATGTTAAACTGCGTAGGCTTAGATATAGGATACATACAAGCTTGACAAGGAACACAGAAGCTTAGTCAATGCTTGGTATCAAAGTACACAAATAGCTTATTTTCTCTCAGCGGCTTGTCACAACCTAAGCTTCTCCACCCGGCATTTGAATGCAGATTGCTGATTTACGAGGCCAGATACAGGTTCAACAAACACAAAGCAAGTGTCTCCTTTTACACTTAACGCACTTCATGTATGAGTAGATAACACGGGGACGGTATTGGTAGCATGCTACAATACGCCCGGCACTGACGTGAATCGTTCTGAATTAACAACAAAACATGATCTTATGTAACTGATTGTGCTCGTGTGAACTCTTTCTGACCAAACTTGTTAGCAGTTTTGAAATTCAAATTTGTCAGTATTAACATTGTTTATCTATGTTCAAGCTTTTTTTGGTCCTAGTTGTGTCCAAATGGTTAGCCAGATTTAGCACTATCTGCATGAGAGATGGTTTTTTTTATTGTCAATAATATGTTCGAAGTCCACCAGTTGTTGCAGGTGGGTTATTAAATGTTTCACACAATGTATGGTATTATATTGTATATTGTGTTCAAAAATAAATCTGAAATACTTTTTCTATTAAGTGATTAAAAGCAAAGCATGAATATATTCCTTCTGTTTCTGCTGTTTTTTCCCCCTCATGGTCTACTTTTCTTAACTCTGGGTGTGAACTACAAATTGGGTCACAGGCTTGCCACATGTTTGTCATGTTTCATTAGGCTGTGTCCCAATACAAAACTGTATTTACTGAGCACCTGGGTCTTGTGCTGAAAAAGAAAAAGAGCCTCTAGTATGTAAAGCAGTATCAACAATAGTCTCAAATCCCTGCTACTGGCCCCTAGAGGTCTGTGCTGCTGCTGACACCCAACCTGACCAAAGAGCTGTGAACCAATGTTCAGACCACTGCCATTCCAAAAACCTAAAATTATTTCAACTCAAGAAGCATTACACTGTAATATAGCAATGCAACAGAGCAAATTTCAACGGTTTTACATCAGTTACATCAAACATGCACAGATTCACAGCTAGTGCCAGCTATTTACATTATTGACTCAACTATACATATCAAGTGAAAAAAAAAATGCCCATCACAAGATGTCATCTTAAAGGAATTGTAGTGTCTAGGATTTAGAGGCATCTAGCAGTGAAGCTGCAGATTGCAACCATTTAAATGCAGCTACGCCTTCCAAGCAAGAACGCAAAAGGCCCTATTCCAAAGCCAGTGTTTGTCCGTTCTGGGAAACTGTAAAAACATGGCGGTTGAATGTGCTTAGAAGAGGACCCACTCCCTCTGTAGATAAAAAAAAAAAAACATTCTTATTTTCAGGTGATCATACGCTACTGAGAACATACCTATTATTTTCCATTTCTACCAATAGATCCTCCCAAATGTTAAACACTGGACTTTCAAATTCCTTCTTTTGTCCAACAAAAAGCCCCAAACCCAAATATAAAATCAAATTACAATAATATAAAACAGCAAAATATCAAATCATTTTCAGTTTATCGACTAGTCAAATAAGTGGTGTTTCAGGACTACATAGATTCTAGTGGGCAGGACAGTGCTGTAAGAATTAGATATGGCTTAGTGGTAGCCCTATTTGTAAGAAGTAGTTCGCAGGCTGTCTAACAGGAATACTATGAGAGTCTGAGATTGTATTTATTTAAATGTGGTTTTAGTTTAAAGTTCCCACAGTTAGTCCACCACAATCCAACAAAAAAATAATGAAGCCACTAAAGGTCAGGGGACCCTGGCCCATCCTGTGAGAAAGAAACCCATCAACCAGTGCAGGAAAGTGAAGTAGATTTAAACTTACATTATAGTCTGCATTAGTACATCTGTTCTATGTTACTCTTCATTCTATTTGATTTCCCTGTGTTTGCTGCATCATAACAGAGGTTCAGCTCTAATGTGCTGAGACGGGAACACAGTGTGACACAGACTCAGCACCACGGCCCACACACAATCTGACAGGACTGTTCTGATGTGACATAAAGGCCTGCTCACACACACAAAAAAAGAAAATGAACGCAATGCTCATCTTTGCATGTGTTGAATTGTACGTAGGCACACATAAATGCGCTACAGATGCCTGACAGAGCGAGGACAACATGCAATAAAAAGGGACACAGGTTGGAATCAAACCTAGGCCACTGCAGTAGGAACTTAAACTTTGTATATGGGGCGCTCACTCTACCAGGTGAGCTACCATGTGGTCATTTATAAAGTACTTCACATTTTCCTGAACTGTAAAGTCTAGACTACAGGTGTGCGCCGCACAGTTTTATAGATCTGAATATTTTCTGGCAGAAAAGGATTCTGAAGTTTGTCAGTACGCAGTGTTTTAGGATGGAATCTACATAAAATGTTATAAATGAGGCCCCTGGCATCCGATGGTGTTCGATGCCAGCCATGGTCACTGGGTGGCTGATGAGCCCAACTTTTGCCTGATCGCCCCACTCTAGCTATGGTGCTCATTCCGGCCCCGCTCCCCTCCTCCTCCTGGCAGTCCAAAGCGCCTGACTAAACAAACCTCAACCAGTGCTTTAAGCTCATCAACCCTTCTCATCAACTAACAGTAACTCGTCTAATAGGGGACAGCCCTAGTTTTCTGATATTCCAAAACAATTTTTCCTTAGTGTGGTCCATCTAACCCTAGAATGGAACGGAAATAACTCAGTGGTCTCAGTCTGACTCATTTGAAATTGTATGCAAATTAATCTGCACATACTGTGTTTTATTTGGTGAAATTGTGAAACTCTTAATATTCATTCTCGCCTATCAACCTTAATCCTGTTCTTTTGCAGTGCCCTCCTGTAGTGACTCCCTATTAACATAAACTGGAAAGATGCTGATAAATTGTCTTACTACATTATTAAGTTGGTTTATTTAACATGTGGGACCTTACAGGGTCGGAAGGCAAAAATGCTTGATGAAGCAATATTTCCAGGAATGTTCTGTTAGCTAATCATTTTACACAAATGACTGATTTGATTGGAGGGTTTATGGGCTTTAAATACACTTCCCATGGAACACAATATTGTGGTAGCAGTAATATAATTTTTATTGTTTTTACTGCAACAACTTCCGTCTTTAAACACATAATGAGGGAAGTTTTGCAAAGCACTCACACATGTTACAGTCTTATATCATAGCTTTTTACAGTCCACAGTTGCATTTTCAAAACTGGACACAAACATTTAGGCAAGAACAAATTAGTATATCAAAATATTCCAAACATATTTTATGTTGGGTTCCTTCTCCAAAATCATCAGTGGCTATTTCTAAACGTCAGTCTGGGAAGGAATTATTCAAACCTTATCTAAAAAACCCTTAAAGACAAGGGTAAGAGGCTTGTGTAATTTCCATCCATGACCCTTCATATCTAATTTCATTGTGACCCACGATAAGAGCTCTGAGGCTGTCTGCCCTTGTATCCACTCCAACCTTGTTTCAAAGGAGAATCATGAGTGAATTATATCACAGGTCAGTCATCTTATTCTTCCTCTTCGCTCTCCTTTTATTTGCTATTTTCATCTTTTAGCTCTTATCCTTGATTTTTCATATGTATGCCTCCACTGCTCGAATGATTTCCAATCTCCTCTCATTTCTTTCACCTCCATCTCCCAACTGTGGAAGTCTCTTTCTGGTCTTGCCTTCGACATAATCTAGTAAAAAGCAAGAGATTCTATTTGATGAAACTACTTGTGTACTATGTGACGAAAGAAAGATAGATGGAAGAGGAGAGAGAGAGAGAGAGAGAGAGAGAGAGAGAGAGAGAGAGAGAGAGAGAGGGTTATGGGACAGGTGGCCTCCCCTGTCACTCATTTACAAAGCCATGGGGATGGGTTATCTAATAAAGCTAAAAACAGAGCAAAGCATTTCCCACCAGTCAAGGAATATGAAACACCACTTAACTTCTCCCCTGTGTGGCACAAAGAAGAAGATGAGGAATATTTTCAGTTAAGCAAAGGAAATGATTAGCTTTGGAGATAATAAGGAATTGGCTTAGGGCTCCAAAATTCTAGTATCCTGAATCAATTAAAGAGACTGAAAACAAAAAGAAGAGGGTGTGAACACTTCATGCATCTCTCATCAAATCTCTTTCAAAAACAAGAAAAATCTGCCAATGTGAAGAAAATATTTGACCTTTTCCTAGCTTACACAATGTTCAAGACTCAAGAGTATTTATTTTGAGAGTAGTTCAATAATCAACCTCAGTTGATCGTACAGCCACTAATTTCTGATTGATTGCCAAAACAAGGGAACATGTCAATTGTAAAAAGTATTATTTTAATATTAATTTAATTTGTAAAAATGTATGCCTCCAGGATTGCTATAAAAACACTAAAATGTAATGTATAATTCAGTGCAGTCAGATTTTAAGCTGTTCCAACAATTAAGACATATGTAAAGTTGTAGTTTGATAAGAGAAGAAAGACACACAGGAGATACAGTAGAGACAGAGGGGGAGAGAGCGGATGACATAACTCCTTTAAGCTGAATAGATGAAGGCTTCATTGAGATGTCGGGTAATTAAATTAAAGGTTTCCGAGCCCACGCGTTGTTATTTCACAATGGAACAGTGACAAATGTAGATTTCTTAGAGTCTTTATTCTGTTAACCTACGTAGGACTGTGCTGGGTTTTTTTTCATAGCAGCCTCGAAGACATTTTTGCTTGAACAAAAGTAAAACTTTTTTTTCCTATTATCATCTCAAGACAAAGCAAGGTATTTTGCATGTCAACTGTTTTCTGCAACTTAAAAAGCTTCAAGTGCTTAATCGCCTCAAGGGACCATGTCAATATTCAGAGTTAAAAAACCCACTGGATGGTCACTGAACTCCTGCTTCATGCTGGTTTACATGTTAACCAGCAACAGTGAACACAAAAGCTTTGTGTGTGGCTTGAGATTAAAAAAAATGTTTCGGTTCCACCTATCCCCCTGGTTGGCTCCTCCCAAGATATTCCCCTTCAGTTCAGTCCCTGAAATCATCATTACATAAGAGTATGCGCGTCAGATGAGCTGGGTTTAATTTTTCCCAGATGTTGATTGTTAGTAGAATGACAGCTCATCATCATATAAAAGTCTGGCAGTACACACAGCATGTAAGAGGATGCATATTCACTTGTTAGTATGTATGAGTGTGGGGCTACATACAGGCACATTTAACAGTCATTAGAAGTCAAAAAACGTTAAAAAGTAACGTTAAGAACCTATTTGTGAAATCATAAACAGGTGGACCGGAAGTACCAGTTTATCAGGGGTCAATGACTGGCTACAACAAGGGCAACCCAATGCTAAGTGCTAAGAGAGCAGGATTGTAATGTTTTAGGAATCCACACCTTGCACTCATTTTATAACTTTGCACAGTGGCTAAATTAAGGAATTTGATCTAAGTGAGAGATTGCACATATAGGGTACATTAAGTACCTGATCTGTTCAGTGTTGGCTTAATGTAACAGCTTACATTTATTATGGCCATAAAGGGTTAAATATCTTCTCTTTTAATGCAAATGATGTGGCTCCTGCTTTTGCGTCATTGTGGTTTTATAGCTGGCTGTAGGGCCAGCTGGGTCAAATACTGCTGCTCACAGAGGAATACACTGTTAAAAATGACCATTTTAATTTGCATGAAGAGTTATCGAACGGTCTTTTGGGATGAGTGATCATTTTGTAAAGAAATGATTCTTGTTGTTCATAATGAGGCCTTTTTTTCATTCGAGGTATTGAACTGAATGAAATAAAAAGAGAAAAAAAGCACAACTTTGTTTTGCCTTTCAGGCTTCCTGCTGTGTTGCCATTAAAGAAGCAAAGCTCTATGGTGAAAACAGTAAAAAAAAAAAAAAAAAAAAGAGAAAGGAATTCATAAAATATATTAGTACAAGATAAAGATCAGCAGTTGCACTTGTCAGTTTTTGTTGTTGCTACAGTGGCTTTCAGAGAAAAGGCAACATGATGCCCCTCTTGGGTCCCCTGTGGCTGCATTAACCTTGTAAGTGAAGCAAGTAAATCAGTCTCGTGATGGATACATGTGGCTATTTATATCACCAGAGCCAATTAGAGGAGAGATGATGAAGTGGCTGAAGGTGCAGAGAAACACCACTGACAGTCTGTTTAAAGATCCTCTGCGAGTCTTCATTGTGCTCGTAAAAAGCGGTGGGAGAAGAGTTGGGCATAGGGTTTTGGGGATATAAGACACCCTGTCTAGGATGTAACAGGAACATTGGCATTGTCTGCTGAGACACTCAGTGGGACTCTCAAAAATGAGAACCAGAAGTCTCAAACAAGCTACAGTACATCAAAGATTGCAGTGGATAAAAAAGGAGTCTAAATTGATCTCAATCCCCATCCTGTTATGAAGAGTGGGGTGGTGGAGGTCAGGGTTAGGGTCCTGAAAGCAACATAGGCTCCCTTTCTGGACACCGTCTGCTATACAGTAAATGGAATTGGTTACCAAGGTTTGGGTGGTCATCACCACGATGACCTCTTGCTTACATTTACAGTGTGCACACAACAACACTAGTCACCCTCTTAGATGCCCCTATGGTAGATAAAATATGATAGGGTGCCTTTCTAGTGGCAAAAACGTGATGAAGTGCCCTTTAAGGTGCCCTAACCCTAATCTGTATCGCCATAAAACCAACTTTCTGCATGCTGGTGCCCTTTTTAAATTATTTCACCTCTGCCCCTCAAACAGCCTAATGCAAATAAAATTAAACGGGCCTTCGCACTCCACGTAACTCGGGGTGTTCTGTAGGAGCAGCAGCAGGAGATTATATATAAACCTTTATTTTATCTGGTAAGTCCCACTGACATCGAGATGTAATTTTCAACTGAGACCTGAGTACATAAGTGTTTAAATACAAACAAAATGTGAAAAAATATAAGACAAGATAGGAATGGATAGACTGTATTGACCCTGTCAACATCAGGGTGGGATTTAATTATGTCCCCGGTCGCTGGAGATCAGCTGTTCCTGGTGGGATAGGTGACCGAGGGATAGGTGGGTGGACTGAGGATCTTGATGGAGGTTCATCCATAGGTTTAGACATAATTTGTGTTGCATGGCTGACGTACAGTGAAGTTAGCTGGTGACCAAACCCGTCTTACTTTATAAAACAAAGAAACACCTCTCTTAAGTAATGCTGTCAGTTCAGTAAGTGGAACCAGTCTGTCACAGTGTAGTATGAGGAAATAAACTCAGTGCCCATTCCTTCTCCACTCAACACTTAATTTCTGTAATGGCTCATATAAATATACATACCCAGGAATCCATCTGGCGGGAAAACTGTGCATTCATCACAGTTTGGTTTCAAGCCTGAAAGTGTTTTAAATTGATTCACAAATACACAAATATATCTTGCAGCTACAAAGCCCTCCCACGGCCAATTTTGGTCAGACCACATTTTGTTGATTCTCCTACCTACTTAGACGCAGCATATAGAATGGGTCAAACCATCAACAAAAACTGTGAAAGTGTGGACAAATGAAACTACCCCAGCTCTACAGGACTGAGTTGAGTACACACATGTTCAAATAGGCGAAAACCACAGAAGAACCACATTAATCTTAAGGAATATACATCATTAGTACCAACATGCTCATAGTTCACGTAAAATGGATGATGAAGAATTGTGGAGAATCTAACTGATCTACCAATCACATCCATATTGACTTGGTTAAAGGGGTGACATGGAGGACTTTTAGACCTTTTTATTTATTGGTAAAAACATATAGCCACACCAGGTTAGAAAAGCCGACCTGCGTCTATATGGGACAGTGCTTTTATTAAACGTTTTATGGTATTAGTTCTACAACATCCTCACTTTCATGTTGGCTGACAATAAATCATGTGAAATGGGAATGAGGAAATATTCTGTCTGTGACATCCACCTCTTTTGGCTGTACTACATAAACCTCACACCGGTCCACAGAGGACACAGTTCACCTGTGTAAGCTGCCAGTGTGAGAATGAAGATTGCTGTGATTTTCCTGTTGCTGCTGCTGGTCTGCTCTGGCTCCACAGATCAGAATCAGACGGAGGCAGAAAAAGAAATTCTTGCACAGCAGATCACATACCTACAGTCTTTACCACAAGACATCAATGCCGTGCTGAGAAAGATGACTGCTACGTTGGCTGAACAGAGAGTGGAGATACAATTCTTGCAAAAAGAGAGTCAAGGTACAGTATTATGTTGGGTAATGAGAGAAGGAATAGCATCAGGAACCTTCCATAGGAACCACTGTTGTTTTACAAGGGTATCAATGTCATTGCAGTTCATATCCAAAAGCACTGAAATTACACAAAGAAACTAGAGAATTATATTTCTTAAGAAATTTCGGGTGTGAATGCTGATTGCTAAAAGGCTAAATGAAAGTATAAGTATATTGGCTTTGCAATTATGTGAAAGGTGTAGAATAATTGAAGATTTGTTGAACAGCCTACGCTGGACTTAATTCCTGTCTTTTTTTTATTGAATGTATTGAATTTGTATGAAGTAACTGAAGGAGTATTGTAATTGAAAAAGTGAGAAAGAATCTAATTACTATGACTTGGACTAAGCAGTTTAATATATATTATATGGTTTGAATGTAGTTTCCAACTGAATTAATAAATATGTGTACAGTGTATAATTGGAAAATGGCAAAAAGATTAAAAATGTAGAATATATTGTAATCTCAGAGATGCATTGCATGGTTAGGTCTTTAGCCGAGGCACAGATCTCATGATTATGCTTTTGGGGCCGACTGCAACTAATCACCAAAATATGTTCCCCCACAAAATGGGAATCGTTCATAGGGAATGAAAAGGGGAAAAATCACAGGAAAAAGTTAAATATTTCAGAAATGATTAAAGTTATCAAAAATCTGAATAGAAGCAATAATATCCTGATTGAGCTGAACGTTTTGATTTTCTAACAAAGTTTCTATGCTGAAAAATGTGATAGGAGTTAGGCACTAAAAAACACGGCAGAACATTTTCGCTAAACTAAATATGGTTGTCAATGCAGTATTTCCAAAGAAACTGATGGTGCAGTGAAATCACACTCAAACTTATTTATCCTCTTTTTCAGAACATGCTGCAAAGCTGAAAGAAGTGGAGCAGCAGAAGTCTGAGTTAGAGAAGCAGGAGACTGAGCTGAAGAAGCAGGAGACTACATTGAAGAGGCAGGAGACTGAGTTAAAGAGGCAGGAGAGTGAGCTGAAGAAGCAGGAGTCTGAGGTTGTCAAGCTGAAGCAACTGTTGAAAGGTATTGTGTGTAAATAATCATGAATAATATTTAGCAGAATATTATTTATATAGGTAATCCAAACATTACAGTTGAGTTGACAGGCAAAAGAAAAACAGGAGCTCAGACACACACAGTCATGTCGTAATATAGGTTTTTTACTGACTCATATGACTAAGACCAAAGAATCTTTTACTTCAGGTCAATTCTGTCAGTGTGATAGGGGTCACTTATCTGGGTGTTCCACTTATTGTCCAGAGGTGACTCTGGGGACTCGTCTGGGTCTGAAGCTGTAATGGCTCGTAAGTGCAGGGAGAGAGTCGGTCGGTGAGGAGTCATGACTTTCAGTGCCAGGAGTCATGTTAGTCTCCATTCTGAACAGGATGAACAGGGACAGAGTTAGTGATGCAGACATTGTCATCAGCAGGCACATCCATGGAGACATCTGCAGCTTCCATGTTACCATTGTCATCAGCAGGCACATCCATGGAGACATCTGCAGCTTCCATGTTACCAACACCCCTGATCCAAATCTTGGCTTTGTTCCTCTAGGGTCACATGTTCTGTGCACTTGCTTTGCGAAGCTATGGCCCACGTATGGAATGGCTGTGAAAAACTCCAGTGTTGACTTTGATGAGACTGTAGTTCAGATCAGACATCCTTCGGGAGATGCGGTATAAGCCAGTGTATAGTGTGGCAAGCTTGGCGGTGAAGTTAGTTAATGCGTCCGAACTGGGATGAGACTTCACTCGGACAAGATCTTGAATTGTGTAGGAGACTTGGCAACATCTAAGGTCGTAGTAATGTTTCTGATGATCATGATTTGTAGCAAGCACTGCTCGGGCATGATCATGTGCCAGGATTTCCAGGAAGGGGACTCCAGGTCATCCTTCCCATGTAGGCTGGGTGATCAGGTCAAGTGGAGTCTCTAGCTCCCATCTGTACAACATGTACTTTCATCAGGTGCATTGCAAAACAGATCTGGGGAATCAACTTGCTCAGTCCCAAGTGCTGACACAACATGCTCGAGAAAATCACTCAGAAATGGCATCCCTCTGTCTGACATCAGGTATGATGCAGCACCATGTCGAACGAAGACATCAGTGATGAACTTGTTGGCTGCAACCTGAGCTGTTGCTTCCCTCACTGCGCTCACTTTGATCCACTTGGAAAATTAATCTACAAAGACAAGGATGTAAGCATTTCTTAGTGTGCAAGGCAGTGGGCCTACATAGTCCATGCCAGTGTATTGTTGGTTGGATGGGGACAATAAGACTGGCTGGCTTTCTTTGGCTTGGCTTAGTGATTTGACACACAGCACAAGAGACCACATACTTCTTGACATCAGAAGCCATGTTTGGTCAGAAGAATCTGAGCCATAGGCGTATCAGTGTCTTTGCAATGCCAAGGTCTCCAGCTGTGGGGTGGTCATGATACTACGCAAGCAGACATCCATGAATGCCAGTGCGAGCATACAGTTTCAGTTGTTTAAGTGGGTGTAGACCACACTTTGTTTCTGGGTCATGAAAGTAGAGGAGGCCATCCTGAACAGCATTTTGTGGAGGTTTCTTACTTTTATCGGCTGTCTTCCAACTGACGGAGCAACTCGCTGGTCACCGGGTCCTCCAGCATTCAGCTGTCACACATAGGGGTGGTCTGTCAACATCACCAGGGGAAGGGCACAGAGATCAAGACTTCAAATCACAGCGTACTCAGGCAAGAGATTAATGGGAGCGTCTTCCGAGGGAAGAGTATTGTGCGAAGGATTACAACAAACCGCTGGGAGATATAGTTATATAGAGATATAGTTATCCAGGTGATCCCCATTGGCATACAGGCTGTGTTATTAGTAGGCTGAATCAGTGGAGCTGACCACATACTGTTTAAGGGCCAACTTTGAATGCTTTCAGGGAGTAAGTCTGCTCAGATGGCCGAAAGGTCTATCGAGTGTGGCATCCAGCGGGGTGTTCGATGGTGACTGTGGAGTCACATCTTCTACATGATTGAACACAGGATGTTGAAGTGAGGTGGATGAGGAGGTGGAGTCAGTTTCCTCTTTGAAATGTCCTCCCCCCGGAAGTTTCCCTGCTTCCAACTCATTGGTCTTGGAGGATCCATGCAATAACTCATATCTGTGGGCAGGGCTCGTGGTAACTCCACAGTGCACTCAGGAGGATGTTGGGGTCCCCGAGATATTGTGGAGCGGTTGGGGCAGGTACAAGATGTGAAACCTGGCTTGGAGCATTTAAAGCAGTAGCTTCCCCCATCGGGTTTACTTCTTGCATGTGCATTGGGTAGATCTGTGGTGTAGGGGCAAAAGACAGAATGGTGCTCTTGTGCTTGCAGCACTAAGTCAATGACTGATTTGACTAGCATGCAGTAAGTTAGTTTTTTTTTTTTTTTCTGTAGTTTTCTGGGGCATGCTTACAAATGAGCGCAATTAGCGGTGGGGTTCTCAGCTAACCACACGGGCCAGCCTTCACTTCCCACATGCATCAATGAGTCTTGGTTGCCCATGACCCTGTCTCTGGTTGTTTTCCTTCCTTGGACCACTTTTGATAGGTACTGACCTCTGCAGACCGGGAACACCCACAAGAGCTGCAGGTTTGGAGATGCTCTGACCCAGTTGTCCATCACAATGTGGCCCAAAGTCGCTCAGATCCTCACGCTGCCCATTTTTCCTGCTTCTAAAGGCCTGGACACACCAACCCGATTATCGGCCATTGGACGTTGTCGAACAATCGGGCGAGGTCGGTAGTACCATGGCTTCTCCAAAACAGCCAATAATTCAAGTCACTAAGAACAACATTTAAACATTTAACTTAAAATGTAGCACTTAGCCAAGTAGTTTAAGGCCTGTAGGCCTACAAGTATGTGAGTTAGCCAAGTAAAACTAGCCAACAGGAAAGTAAAAATAAACCATGGCAGCCAATAATTCAAGTCCATAGGAGCAACATTTAAGCCAACTTAAAATTGTACCCGTCTTAGCAGAGTAGCTAAAGGCCTGTAGGCCCTGACCTACAAGTGAACACTAAACAGAAAGTCTCCTCTCCACATAACTGCGGACCAAGTGATCTACATTCTCTTCAGATTTTTGTTCAGGAATAGAATCTGATCGACGTGCTCTGGGAGAAGTGCACTTCTCTGAGCAGTGATGATATCTCCGGCGGTGGAGAAGACCCTCTCCGAGGAGACACTAGTGCCAGGGATGCAGAGGTACCTTTTAGCAAGGTGTGACAAGAGTGGATACTCATACTGGTGCTCCTTCCACCAGACCAGTGCATCTTCTTTCACTTCCAGGAGATCTGTCTCCTTTGTAGAAGGTCATCTGCTCCTTGGCCTCGTCCTCTTGGGTATTTGTCTTGGGTCGTGCTGCACCACCACCGTATCGTTCACCAAGAAGGGCAGCCAGTGGACAAGACGGCCTTGGATTCCTGGGTGGAGGATGCTGACCTTCAAATAAATAAACAATAAAAAAAAAATCACCTTATTTATAGTTAAGCACATTCCATAATTCCTACACAGAGGTTCAGACAACACAGTGCACTTCACTGGATAACAATGGGTGATACTGACCTTGACTGCTCTCTCCTTCCTTGAATCGCTCTCCATCATCTACAGCCTCTTCTTCGGATGCCATCCCCTCATCATCAGCGCTAGCATTTGCTGTCCCCTCTTCGTCCACACTCCAAAGTGACAACTAAATTAAATAGGTCAACATGAAATGAAATTCATGAGCTTTTACTGTAATAAATCTTTTAATTACTATATTTAATATCTATTATATCTATTTAAACCTTTTAACATTATAGTATTTATGCTTTTTAAACTATTTAATATTTATCCATTTTAAACTGTACACGTTGTAGGATTTGCCTTTTAAACTTTGAACAACGTATTATTTAGGCCTATGCTTACTCTCGCCAGGAGATGGCGGATAGGATACAAGGCCAAGGGTTAAACCTAGCAGTACCATCATTGCCTTACCTCTAATAGTGTGGGGGTCTTCTCCTTCTTCAGCTGTTGTCACGTCTGACTCGGTCAGTGTACACAGATACTTCTCGGTCTTCCTGACCTCACTCGAGAGCAGATGGCCGGTTGTTGCTTGAGGAATCTTTCCAACATGTCGTGCGCACTGTTCCACCTGTAGTTAAATAAAAGTAAGAAACTATATACCTATAGCGCCCTTTATGGCATGGATGCATAGAATGCTGCTTTACATTAATGACAAAATAAATTAGTGATAAAAACAAAATAATTCTGTGATTCCCCACTCAGCGAGGGCCTTTCTCCGATGTTCTGCCAGGTTGTATCCGGTGTGGCTCTCGGGCATGTCCCTGGTTTGTAAGACATACGTAACAAGCTCCCATTCCTCGTTGATAAAGTGGGGCCGTGATGGTGAGATATGCTTCAGTTGTTCACGAGGTCCACCCGTCACACGTCAGGGCAACTCTCTCTGTTCTGGGGAAACAAAATATCGATATATATCACAGGATCGCTAAAATTGCTCAGCCTTATATACAATGCTCTCTCTCTCTATCAGTTGGGCAGGTGGCTTTCTCAGCCTCTCTGTTGGCTAAAGGCCATGGACATGTCGGACCCTTTCCCACGCTCACTACTCTGATCTTCAAACATGTCACTACAAACATTGGAAAGGCCTACAACCCACACACAGGTACCTGAACTCTGTTATTTTTACCTATGATGATGTCTAATGTTGCAACAGTTGAATTTTCATTTACAAAGACTAAAAACAAATGTTCAACAGGTATTTTCACTGCACCAGTGAGAGGAGCCTACCACTTCGAGTGGTACATAATAGCACACGGAGATGCTAAACATCCTACAGCTGCTGTGTTGGTCAAGAACTCAGAGAACACTTTTCTTGCATGGGAACGTCAGAAATCCGATTCTGGGTCTGCTGCTATGGGGGTTACATTGCTCCTAGAGGTTGGAGATGTTGTGTTTTTGCGTCTGTGGACTAATTCAAGGGTGTTTGATAATACTAATCACCATACTACCTTCAGTGGTCATCTGCTTTTCACCATGTAAGACAGAAACAGTTCCTCTTTTCCTTTAAATTCTGATAATCATGCAGGTTTTTGTTGTCTTGAGCAGTTCTTGCACTGAACTGATCTCAAACTTAATCTGATAATCTTGAATCACTGTAGTAATGTATAGTGAACTTTTGATTTTCCTTTATATAAAAGCTGGATGACAGAATAGTGCAACAGCGATTAATAAAAATGTCAAAGTGATAAGTTTTTCAGATGCTCTTGTCAATAATAAAATAATAAACATACAATTATAATACTGTGTGGACATTTCTTTATTGTTTTTGTTTCAACTGTCAATATCATACTGAAGATACTGATCATACCACAGATTCATGACCTCAATGAAAATCCCTGACTGTAAGTAACTCCAACCCAGTCATCTAGAGAAGTGAAAGGGTGTGGTGTGACCTGTCCGCCCTGGCCCAGTAAATGTATCTTATTAAAACTCTTCCTTTGAGTCACTGACATGAACAGACATAAACAACAGTGAGTTATAGTCTCCATTGTTCACTTGATAGAAAAGGTACACACGAAAAAAAAGAAAAAAAAAACTCCTGAGAGCTAGAATGAGTGAGGAATGTGTGTTTTTCTGTAGCGTGACCAATTTCACAGTAGTTTTTGTTTCCCTTTTCTCTGGTTCTTCCACAGCTGTGTCACTGTGCCCTTTGGTAATATTACCCTAAACTTTATAAATGATTTGTTGCTCTCACGCACTCCTTCCAAATCATAGAGGTCTGCAGCACATGGGAACAGTTCTTGGGCTTGTGTGAGTGTGTGTTTGTGTGTGTGTCTTACACTCATTGTTCTCCCGTAATACCATTCCTTCCAGTAATCTCCCGTACTTCAGAGCAGTTATAGTTAATGACAGGCACACACAGGTCAGCTTCAGGGCTTGAACTTAGGACATCTTGTTTAAAGAACACATTCTCTGACCACTGGAAAACCCCCATCATCACAAATCATATTTTTAATGGTTTCCAAAAGTTTTAAAATGCATTAAGAAGGCTAATGTTGCCTACAGCACTACCCTGGAGGCCCCTGTTTATCAATTCAAATGTATTCATACAAGCCAGAGAGCACTTTATACCATCTGTACAGCATACAACACTCTATCAACTCAAAAACTTGACGGAAATAATTAAATCTTAAAAAACTTTACCGGGAAAAACAAATGGGAGAAATGTTAGAAAGTGCGACAGAGGAGTGATCCTCAAAGATCCACAGAACACACATAACTACAATATAGATTTAGAATATACAACAATAAACTCCAAGTACCAGATACACAGAAGAACTAATGAATTTCAATATACACCCTAGTAGGTTTGGGCAAGTGGACAAATATATTGGCTATTGTTTTTTTTGGGTGACACCAGAGTGGGTGGAATAGTGGAAAGAAGGTTTTGTCAGTTTGTTTTTGTTCCTGTGGGGTTAGGGTTAGGTGTACTTTGAGATTGCTTAACAAAAGGTTTTTAGTTTGGTATAAGAGAGAAACTTGACTTTTCAATTGACTTTTGAATTTTTTTAATTTAGAAGGTGGTTGTATTTTATTTTCCTTTCTTGACATTTGGTGAGTTTATTTTCTTTAATAAAGCTGTTAGAGCTTGTTGTTCGTGGTGAACTCACCTCAGGAATCTGTGACTGTTTAGCTCTTTCTTGTCTTGGATAAAAAAAGAAAAATTGACAGAGACACACAAATGGCATAAGCTACCCTCACAAATATTCAGATATGCGAAGAGACAGAATTAACTCTTAACTCTAGAGCAGGGCCTGATTCATGTCCTTTAAATGCAACTCTGGAAAATTACTATTCTCTACTTCTTTCCTTTTCTTTTTGATTGCAGCAAAAGGTTTAGCTATCCCTCTTTTCTCCTATTATGTATTGTCCCTGCCCCCTTCCCATGCCACAATTTTCAGTCCGGGAGCTCTGATTTGTTCTGACAGGTTGAACTGAGCATGTGTAGTGGCCTGGCCTAGCCTCACAGAGGAGAGAAGAAGAGAGAAGAGGAGAGAGCAGCTAACCAACCTGGGTAAGAGTTGTGGTTGAAGACATCTTGGAACACATGGGTCAATCCACACAATGAGTTACATGTATCAAGCAGGGGCATCATCAGAGTTCTGAGTGAAATAAATAAAACTGACATTTAAGTACATCGTATGGACCACACTGCTGATGACAGATGCAGATGCAGGAACAGCAATAACTGCACAGATTTCACCAAAAATAGATGAATTAATAAATTAGGATCTTGTATTTATTCTTTGACTTTAACTAGAATGTACCTGTTTTTCTAGGCAAGAATATTGACTGCAATCAAGCTGCCCCTGGTAGACAGGCGGTGTTCCCCCAACAAACTGATTAAGGTGTGTTTGTGCGTATGCAAGTGTGAGTACACGTGCAGAGGGAGAGAGAATATAGGACCAAGAAAGACAGACAGGCAGGCAGACAGACAGGCAGACGCAGTGAATTGGGATTTTGACAGGGTTTTTCTCTCACATCCTATCACAGGGACGACCAAGTCCTCTCTGTCGATCAGGTTGCTATGGCAACTGTGCAAGAGTTGCATACTGAGACACATTCTCTAGACATTTCTCTGTGGGATAATATCTCCACAGTTACATGCAGGCAACATCTTGTACAGCAGGTACAGACACAGATAAACTCTGACACACACACACGCACACAAACGTAGATTCATGCTGCTAAAGATCGTAACTGTCAGTGACTGTAAAAAACAAACAAAATGTAATGGTTCAAGCTTCTCATACGTGTTGCTTTTATCAGTCTACCATAATCTTCTATAATAGTAACTATTAGAGGATTTTTTTGGGGTATGGAAATGTTGGTCTGATAATTTAAAGCCCTAAAAGAAATATCAATAAAATCATAACTCAGTATCAAAAACTGGTAATAAAATAATCTTTGGTTGCTGTAGACTAGGCCTATAGATGATGTTCAGATCTCATTAATAGAGATGTATATATCTAAATCTGTGCAATCTGCATTTTGATTGATTAATGGGGTTTTTTTTTGCTGTAAAGGAAAAAAAAAAACCATAGTGACCATATTTGCCAAAAGGCCCAGCAGGTCCCCTCTCCTGCCGTGCACACACACACACACACACACACACACACCATTGCCTCTAGGCATAGTCAAACATGCATGCCACGCATACCGACCAAAACAGTGCAGTTGGATACTCACCGTTCATTAAATATAGATCCCTTGCTAAACATCGCATACTGTTTAAAGAAGAGGATCATCACACGGATCAGGTACAGTCTGCATGCTTTAGGGCCAAGTTTGTTCTCATATGCGGATACAAACATTTGGAAAAATCAAACATGGGTGAGACGTCCTTGTTATGCAACACTATTGGGCTGCATGTCAAATTGATGTTGTTTGCCAGAGGAAATTAATTTTAATGTTTCGATTAATTATTAAGGAAGGGGTTTGGGTGAGAGGCTGGTCAGGTGTATGAATCAGCCCAGTTAATAAAACACTACACGTGGCATTTAAGTCTTAATTCAGAAAATAAATAATAATTTAATAAATAATAATAAGTAGTATGTGGTTGAAGAGGAGCTGATAGTTTTAATTAGGCTGTACTAACGTTACAGGCTGAAGTGTGTCTTATTGTCCTGCATGTTAAGTTAGTAGACACTGTCTAGCAGGAGATCGTGCCCCCATCATCTGTTCAGACTTTGACATTGATAGATAACGTCAATTATTTTCTGAAATCAGGCTTTAACAGAGCACTTATCGCTGTTTAGAAGTCATTTATAAATCCCCAAAAGACTTCTATCCAACTGGAACCAAAATATTCAATATACTGCACGATTAAAAAGGTTTTTAACAACTTTCCGAAACTCTCCTTAAAACGATTAACGGCCCAACCGTTATGTTAGCCGGAAGTGACACATTTTTTGCTGCGCATTTTGTCATAAAGAGCTGGGAATTAATTAAAAATATAAACACACATTTATGAATCGTTATAGGTCAAAACATTATAAAATGTATGTTTGTATATTGAACTGATAAAAAAAAAAAAAAAAAAAAAAATAAAAAAAAAGTTGATGCGTCATACAAGCCGAGCAAGACGATAACGGCCGTGTTACTTCCGGCGACCATCTTTCTCCGGTGGAGGGAAACAGTCGCAAGTTTGGAAAGGAGTCGACGTTTTTTTGTAACTTGTGCAGTCGACAGAATATCTTTGTTTTCACCTGGACAGAAGATGCTTTGAATTACCAGAGGCTTCCTAAAATAGCGGTAAGTGTTGTATTTATCTTTGAGAAAAACGGAGGTAAACACCACTGCAGTTAGCTAACGTTACATGAGAGACCCAAACTGGTGCTGGGCAGTGCCTAAAGTTAAATAAAATGAGTCTGAATTATAGTGTATCATTTTACCACCTTGTATTTAAATTGTGTACAATGCTTTCTCTCGAGAAAAACTCTTACTGGCTTAAGTAATGGGCAGATGTGGCTGCTCAATTGATGGTAATATACAAATAGCAATATGGGCAAGTGCAATATGCAAATTGCAGAAGCTGCTTTTTGATAAAGTTGAAATGTGTGACAAACAGCATTATAATGAAGTACTATATTTGTACTAATTTGTAATGCAAAAAGAATCTTTATCACTGATCGTGAATCATTTTGCAATCACAATATCTGTAAAAAAATAAATAATTCACATAAGTTTTTACCATATCGTGCAGCCCTAATGTATAGCCAGCTATATTAGGTAAATTGTTGTCAGCTACAAATAGCAATCCACTTTGGATAAACATGTAAAGGTGGTAGGATGCTAATTGGTTGTAGGAAGCCATTTGACATGACTCTGCCCTGTGGATATATCCAGGCCCTTCACTTAGGCTAGGTCCAGACACAAAACCATTGCTGTCATTACACTGATAATATATGAAAGTATGAAACAAAGGTATGTTAGTAGTTTGGCTGAGAGAAGCAGTGAGTGTGTTTGTTTTTTTTTTTACCCCAGTGTTAGAGCCCTTAGTTTAACACAAAACACATGTGAGTCAGAATTGAGAATTAACAATACTAGAGGAGCACATAAAACTTATCGTGGGTTAACCCTAGTTCGTAGCTCTAGGGCTAAAATCTTTGATTGTGTGGGAATTTTCTGTGGCTCCGTCACTATTTGCCAGCTTTAATAATTTGAGCACATCTGAACATTGAAAATGAAAGTGAATCCAGCCCTGTGGCGTAAATGATCCCTGACAGTAAATAAAATGATTTGCTCGTCATTCATTTACGGTAAATGATCTACTTCCCTCTGAGCTGGCCTGTGTATTTTTTCTTAAGAAATGTTCCTGTAACCATGGAGACCCTGTGCAGAACAGCTTACATCCTAGAAAGGAAACAGGAAACTGGCATGTCTTTGGTAATTGGAACCATCCTTTATCATACGAATTTCTGGTACATGTAGGCCTGCTGCCACTTGATCTGAACTCATGAGTAAGAGCTTTAGTACAAGCTGACATGGATGACGAATACATACTGATGCAGCTTCCTGATATATTTTACCAACACTTGGCCAATAAAGTGTCCTGCCAGGGTAATTTTAGTGTAATGATTAAATGTTGAAATACTGTTATCCAACCGTAGCTTCTGACACATTATTCCTGTAGTCAAAGATAAGTGTTTGTAATTGCCCTCTTGAGTATTTTGCACTTGAGAAATGTGTTAGTTGACAATCATTTACTGCATAAAATGTTGCTATGGGTCCTTCACAATCCATACAATCACACAGTTTTCAAATGTCTACTGTCACACGTCGTCAATGTTTCTTACAATGTGAACACCAGTTACAGGTCTTTATTTAAAATATTCTTTCCAATCATGGATCCGAAATGTACAAGACTGGTTTCTATATAGTCTTCAGGTTTTTTTTTAATGAAAGTTAAGGGAGTGATTTTGGGAATACAAGGCCCTGTAGCCTTGACATAGTTGTGTCCTGATATTAGTCACCTAGGGCCTTGAAATCACAGAACCCCTGACAATACTATAGACACAATGGAGACAATCTAGCACCTGGTTAAAGTTTATTACTCGATGTTGCAATCCAGCACAGGAAAACAAGGGCTGGAGAAGGGAGTAGAGAGAGGAGAGGAGGACACAAGAGTGATCTGCTTTTGTCATCTGAAACAGCTGTGTAATTATATTTTGGCGTCATTGTACTCCAGTCAATTCATTCAGGTCGATTGGCCAAGCTCCCTGCATCATGGGGTTTTGCACAACTGAAAAATAATTAGCATTTGTTTGGGAAATTAAATAATCAGTTTGATTAATCACGCTGAGTATGTTTTATAAGAGCTGTGGCGTTGATGCCTGGGGAGAGTGGAATCAAACTATCGGAGGCCAGGCCAGACTGTACAACATCAGCATGTGATATCATTTGTGTCCAATCAAAATGGGTTGGCGTGTTGTCCTTAATTTTGTTGTTGCATGTGATGATTCACATGGAGCTACACCTGAGCTCCGGGTCTGGCTCCCATTCCAACATTTCCATCCTGTATCAGTGGTGGTCCTGGCACGTACCAGCCACAGCATGAATACTGCAGTCCTTTTCGGCACATGCGTGTTCACTCTTTAATAGCACATTTTAGGTTGCTTAAAAACGTGTGCTGATGGCAGTTGTTAAGTCAGATTCTCCTGGAGAAATTTTGCCACGGCTTTATATTTATTTAAACATATTTAGTTAGGAATTAAAAGATTGAGTCACAATTTTTTAAGTCTGTCTTAAAACATAGTCCCATATGAACATTGTAAATGCAATCAGTCCTCCTGTTCATATTGGCTATTATCAGAACGCTAATAATGTACTTTCACTGTGGTGGGGTACAAAATCCACAGCCCTCTTTCTGGGCAGAAATGTATCCCACTGTTTTTTCTGATGTTCATGTGAGGCTTCAGCAGTCTGAGTTAGGCAAATAAAGTAGGTATCTTCAAAAGTTACAATATTTTAAGTTCAAATCTACCCCATTGTTTTAAAACCAGACCTATCCTTTAAGACCGTAGTAGAAGACATTTGTGGCCTTTAAACAAAAGTTGAGTGCAGATGTTAGATGTAGGTCTGGGCTTGGGTGTATTGCATTGGGGCAGCTATAATATCCAACTGCATGTGTGAGTATTGAAGCAGAGGGAGTTCAAGTACAGGTTTGTGATATGTGGGAAAAGCTGTGGGGGAGAGAAGGGATTGCCAAGCTTGAGAGTGATGAGTGAGGAATGAGATTTCAGTTTTAGGTGGACTTTGCCTGGGAATTCAGCCTGGGAAAGTTTCTCATCTCTGTTTCCTGTGTTGAACTGTGAACATCCTCAAATGCAGCATTTCCAGGCAATGGATTCTGGGCTCTGCCCATTAAGACAGTACTGTCCCTATATCATGTCACTAGAAAAGGTCTGTGCAGGTTAAAGTAATACAGCAACACTCACATAAACAAAGTCAACTTTTGTCAGTGACTTTCAGCAAGGCATTGAGTGTAATAGTCTTTTGTATATTGCCTCCCTGAATCTCCTCTGAACGTTTGAGCAAATAGAAATAAATAGAAGTAATAATCTAGGCTATCCTCAGCCGACTTGCATGGTTAAATACAGAAAGTGTTGTTGCTGTTGGAGAATGGGTGAGTCATTCATGCTGCTTTTGCCATGGATTGTTCATGGGGGAAGCCTTACAGTGTGGTAGTGTGGAGAAGCAAAGTATTTCCTTGAAATATCAGTCATTCAAGCCTGTCTCTGCATGCCTGGGAAAACACCAACTATTGACCAAACCAGCCCACTAACTGCGTCATAATTTACCTGTATATTTCTGTTTTAAGCAAAAGACGTAAGGAGTTTTCTAAATACTAGTACATTGATCATTTTAAACAGTCACCTTGCTCAAGTAGCCAGTATCTATTAACTAATTGTTTTTGATGTTAATGCCAGTTCATCATGTCCTTTTTTTGTAACATTTTCAAGACCTATATGGCCATATGTTAGATTATATACATTTAGGTGTTCAGTTTAATTATGTTAAATGTGTTTTTGTGTTGCAGATCACAAATGGACTTTGCTTTGAAACAGTAGCTGGCTAAAGAGACCCGAAGGAAAAGAGGCAGAGCATATTGGGACTAAACGTTCCATAATCAGCTGATATCAGAGTTTGATTTTTCACATTGAGGTAGGTGGGGTTTAAAACATGATGTACTGTAGTAGTCGTGCGTCTCTCAGCATCACAGAGGCTGTCCATTTTATGGCAGAGGGTTTACCGGAAGTGTGTGTGTGTGAGGGATTTGGGTGAGCTGTGTGTTCGTGGGTGAGCTGCAGCTTTCTGTGAGGAAACGAGGAGAACATATGCTTTAATATTTGACACTCAAGAGATGGTGTGAAACAAGTCAGCAATGAGTAAGAAAGAGCAAGGCATGCCATGCTTTCTGGGTAGAAGTGCTTTTGCGAGATTTGTGTGTCTTTTTTATATACTGTATAGGAGTGTGTGTTTTCACATGTATGTGTATTATCTGCTGCTGCATTCTGGCAAAGAGTACGCACTCCCACGTGGGTCCACAGGACACCTCACCTCAACATAGGTCAAACCAGAATGGCACATTGCAGTCTCCACAACACTACAGGGAGTTCACAGTAGAACATGAAGTCTAGTGCAGGAAGTTTATCACATCTGTATATTTAAAAGGTTTCGTTTTTTAAATACATGCTGTATTGGACCTGGGGGTTACATTTATAGTTGTTATTTATAATTATAATTTGATGTTCTTGAGCTTAACTGTAACAGATATCCTGTCTTTTTGTAACTTTTTTAATAACAAAATTTGTGTTTTTCTTTTTTCAAATATTGAAAATCCAGAATCCTTTAAGCTAATAACTTGCATGTGGCGCATCATTTCTCCTGTCAGCAGAAAATGCTTAAAAAGTGATGTTACATTGGAAATAAATTAGTAATTTAAAGATAAATATGACAACCAATGCATTCCCCTTTTCCAGTGTGACTGTTTTCTATTACCTGCTTATAAATATCCTGATTAGGCAGAACTCAGAAATATACATTTTTAGAGTGGCAATGCCATCTCAAAACCTAGTTTTGGGGCTAATCCCATGACTCCCCCAGTAGTGGCCCATTCCTGGTGCTCGGCTTTAGTGATGCACTCAGTGTTACCTATTCAATAAAATAAAAAAAATAGAAAAGTACAAAAATGTCTGTACACTTCCAGGATCACCCATCCACTTGTACCTATTACACACACAAACACCAAACACACTTCTACATATTTTGCACTGTAGTAGAAGATTCCTGCTGTGTTACCGATCCTCTGCCCTCCCGTCGCAGGAAGCGTGTGCTTGGTTCTAGTTATGTTCATAGCCTACATTTAGTTAAAAAGCCTGTAAAGAGAGGGAGAACATGAATACTGTGTACCTTACTATGACAACATATATCTCCTACTTCATGTGTTGAGTCATGTCCCACTGCTACGTTATGTCAGAGGCAGCTACTCTTACGTGCTATCAGACAGAGCAGATCTTAATAATCTATACTCCTATTTTAAGATGTCTCATGAATTATGGGTTCAGTATTAAATGCGTCATTGGGAGGCCGATCTGGTCTCCTACCAGCACGTCACAGCACACACACACACACGCGCATAACCTATATTAGCAACTTTCTAGTGGGTGTCCAGCCAAACCAGAGTGAGCCAGAAAGCAAGCGTAGGCAAGTTTCTCTCTTTTTTTGGTCCAAAACTGATTCAGCTATGGGGTATTCTGTGAGTGTTCTGACACAACTCTGTTTCCACCTTAGCTTTAGGCAAGAGAGTCTTTTAGCTCAATGTCTTCTTTATGGGAGTCATTTAAGTTAAACATAACCACACCTTACAAATAAAATTAATATCAAGTTAAAATTGATTAAACTTGATATTGAAATTTTCTGTTTGAATTACCCAAATAAGCTATTAGAGAGTATAGAACTCATCTCTGTGCTATTTTTGTTGTCTTTAAAATACTCCTTTTGAAACTCCCTGCAGTGAGTTCATCTGGCTCCATTCTGTCATCTCAGCCTGGCTGTCCAAGCAAAGACCGGTACTCTTGGGAGTGGCCTAATTTAAACTTCTCCACTGTTTATAGATATAAGCTGATTGTATAGCAAGTTTGGGCTCTGTTTATTTAGGCTTGGACCCTGTGTGCAAATAGTAATTGGTGTGAGTAAGAGGGACTTATTGAACCGGTGTTGACATCCTGGAGACCATTAGGGAGACCGCAGACCAGACCGGCCCAGTATCAGAGGGATGAGCTCATCTTTTCCATCCCCCATTCTAAGGCTGGAGGGGAGGACTGGATTTTCAGAGGGGGCTTTTAATTGGGGGGGGGGTTGACTAGATGGGGTTTGGGGTCAGAGAATAGTCCAGACTGACAGTGTTTGCTATTAAACTGGTACTACAGGGCAGGGAGGCAGTGGGAAATGTAGTCATACAAGACTATAATTTCAAGTTTATTCAAGTTGATTTTCATTTTGTACTGAACTGACCCCTTTTAAATGTGCCGTTGGATGGCTGGTGCAAAGTCTAACTGAATATCTTACAATTTGACCAACTATGTTACCTAAACACTGAGGTAGCTAACTAGCTAATTAACTGACTGCTGACTGACTGTCTGACCTGGCACCCAAAATAAAATGTGTCCGTACTATTTGTCCCAGACAACACAGAGTCCAAGCTAACTCTTGCTATAAACTATAAGCTAGAAATCAAAATAATACCCCCAGCGGCATCAGACTAAACAAGCTAAATTCACCTTTGAGCTGGCAGTCAGCCTCCTCAGCATCATTAAGTAATTAGGAAGTGGGTGCCAATTAGACAGAAAACCTTGCCGCTTGATGTAGTGTGTATGTGTTTCTGTGTATATGTGTGCCTGGCCCCCTGGGCAGGGCAGCAAGTGGGGTAATGACAGAACAGTATGTCTGTCTGGCAGTACTAACAGACAGAGAGCATCATGAGTGGCTGGATGGCACGTAGGCACTTGAAATGGCACCCTGCCATCACCACGCCTTATCGCCCTGCATGCCTTCCCCTACCGCTGAGTGGAGAGTGAGTTGTTTTGGTTTGACTGCACTCACTGCTGCCTAATCGGTGGGTGGGTGTTTGTCTGTGTACATTTAATGACTGCTGCCTAATCATCATCCCTCATCAAGGCACTTTGGGGGTAGGGAGAGAAGGAGCAGGGTGGAGGTTTGTATGGATGTTGCTACAGCAGTGTGCAGGAAATGGCACAAGGCCTTGGGACGTGAGACGTGACCATTGCAACATGAGCCCAGGGAAGTCCCAGCATAGACATGACGTTAACTGAGAAGCATCATATCTGTAAAACGTCTGCTCTGTGTTGACATACCTGAAGTTTAGGGTGGCTTACTTGACGTAGGTAAGGAGTAACGAGTGTACATGTAAGCGTAGCTTTAGTTGACAAAGGACAAAATGTACAGTGAAAGGTGACAAAACATGAATGAACATATTTACTGCTAACTGGTGTGCCAGTGTTGACTACTAGCTTTGAGTGAACCTGATGATTTGATAGTAGGAGAAAAGTCACCCCTTCTCTCACTGCATGATCATGTGCCACTGGGCTTTCCCTGCTCTTCAGTGTCGTGCTCCTGTAGTGCTGAATTAGTGTCATCATCATGCTCACCTCAGTAAGTGTGGGAAGAGATAGGACCTTGTTGCACTGGTTTGCTTTTTCTTTCTTTTTGATTACAAATTTCATTGTTAAAATGTTTGGCAGCCACCATAGTTTCTCCTATATGTTTGGAAGGCTGAGCTGTATTCAAATGGTTGCAATGTGCAACTTCATGATGTCACTCAATCTGACACAGTGGTACTTTAAACTATCACTAAATACTGTCACTAAATACAAATATCCATACTTTGTTCCCGAAGCCAACTACAGATTGCTTATTTTGTTTGACCATCAGACAGAAAACCAGAAGTTAGTTACTTACCATGATATGAAACAGAAAAGCAACAAATCTTCATATTTCAGAATTTTTACTTTTTTACTACCATTGATTTATTTTTTGTTGATTTGTCTAATCAGTAATCCAGAAAGTGGTTTGGTGCAGTGTTCTGGCACACAGCGAAGAGCATAATTTGTGCAAGATTGCTATTTTTGTTTTATGGGGAAATTGAGGATGGAACTAGAACGCATTTGATAAATGATCAGCAATTCAGGGACCTCAAGTGGCATCGCCATACCTCATCCTCCATTCCCAGTGGCTCTTCACTTGCCAGATGATAACGGCAGTCTGCTACTAAATGCAGCTTTCCCTTCTTAACTGTAAACAGTAACAGAGTGGTGACCCATTTGAATTCGTCTTGCAGTTTTTGCTGTTGGTGAAAACAGTTTGGGACCTGCCAACAGATGCAGAGACACATCACTGAAAATTGCCAGATTAGAGCAACACTGCACCCCACAGGCGAAAGGCATGAGCAAAGTTGTAGAGAAGTAGGTCAGAGGGAGGGAGGTATAGGGTGGTATAGGGGTAAATAGAGGCAGATGCAAGGTTGAGGGTGGGAGAGAGGGGACTAGATGGGGTGGGGATGGAGAAGATTTGCTTTTTCTTTTGCATCTGCTGTTTGAAATAAACCTTCTTCAGCCATCTGAGAAGTATATGAAACGTGCCAGATATAAGAGAATCCTTGCTCATAGTCTATTTCTGAATAGTAAGTGCTGTCTAAATGCTGGGGAGACTGCACCTCTCTCAGGAGAGTGTTTTACTGAGATAAGGACTCGAGAACATGTAGCAATGTGCTTGAATGTGACAATAAAGTGAAATGTCATTGGTGTCACTGCAGGTATCAAGCTTGTGTTTTAACGCTAAATTATAATAACCTACCTGAACCACAAGAGACTGTCATAACTAACAATGGGATTAGTTCTGCAGTGATTGTGATTGTGCGGATGCTATAGCTGGATACTGGGAAGTCAAAAATGGGAAGTAAAAACGCTTTAGTGGATTATTATTCTTATGTGTTTAGTGTGTGTGTTGTGTGTGTGTGTGTGTGTGTGTGTGTGTGTGTGTGAGTGAGAGTGAGAGACAGATCTGTTGCGTGATTTACTGGTCTTGAAAATGTAATTTAGAGCCGGGGTTGGAGCGGTACTATATATGGTAGGGAATAGAGCACTGTGTTAAAGGGATCAGCAGGTGGCGCCAACACCATGTCTTTTGGTGGCTCTTGCTGTAAACATACATACAAACATTTTTAGTCCAGTTCACCTAAATCAATGCCAAATGTCACTTTTTGCTGTCTAATTGTTAGCGTACCTTACGCCAAAAAAAATAATACATTTTAAAAAAGGTTTTTCATCAAACATATTTTGTCAGTTTTTTTGTTGCAACATATACTAACAGTGAATCAGATGCTTCTTAGATAAGATAGAACTTCAGAGGAAAAAACAACTGAAGTAGATTGATTAATGTGCTGCCTTTTTAATAGGATAAACAGACTTTTTGACAATACTTTGGTTCATCAGAGCAAAAACAAAAAGGAAACATTTCTGTGCAAATTAACTGCAATTGTGTTTGTCTTTGTGAAATAGAAGTCCATAAAATTGGTAATTAAATTCACTGATATACAGCATAGCCTTGCTTATCCAGACACATAGACTATTGCAGACTGTTTGAAAGGTTGCTGATTTTTTTTAAAACATCATAACAAAAGTAGAGATGTACAGTTAAAATCTCTAATGGATACAGTTGCAGACATTTGTCTTCTGTCACTTCAGAATTTGTACATGAATAAGGAAAACGATTGTGTGTGTGTGTGTGTGTGCGTGTCTGCGTGTGTCTGCTACTGCAGTGAGGGACATGCTGACCTTCACTGCCCAACTTATAGCCTGGACACATAGCCTGCTGTGCCACATTACAATTCTCCGTCTTCACAGGTTGTCTTCCTGTGTAGTCGAGTGTATGTGTACATCAGTACACCAGCAGTTGTTAAATGATGCGCTAGTATCGGCATCAGCGTACGTGCATGTCCTCTGAGCAGCTCAGTCTGGCAGAGTCCTTGGTTACTCCTCATTCTCGTCTGCCTCTTCTCTTTTCCAGTGAAAAATCTTAGTCATCTGTTCGTCTTCTCCAGTCTCATCCCTCTGCCTGGCTGGGGTGAGAACAAGGGGGTCCATGGAGAGAGCTTTAAATGGCTGAGGAGCTGTGTACCGGCTGGTTTCGCATTGTTGCAGGTACAGTAGGTAAAACCCCTTTCTTGACCTAACAGTATAGTACAGTACAGCACCTCTTCAGGAGTGAGAACATGGATTGTCAGTGCACCTGTAAATAAAATATAAAAAATATAGGTCACTTTTTATTTTCAGTTTTAGGGGTTACTCCAGATTATCTGGTGCATGAGGTGAAATGGGAGCTGTGTGTCTAATAAGTGTACAGCGTTTTACTTAATTTATTGTGTGCGCTTTTGGCTGTGTGGAATATACCCTCACTTTTCTGTTGATCTTACTGATCTGTTATGGCCATAAGATGTTGATACAGGTGTCTTTGCATGTTCACTGTGCAATGTGTCTTCTCAGGGGGTGCATCACACAGGCACTGTCATTTAGAGAGAAAAAGAGAAAAGGGCAGACAGAACTTGTAAGGGAGAAAGGACGAAATATTCCAAATGTCCCGCACACAACAAAATAAGAAAATACAGGCAGAGGGCAGCGTCTCTGCAGATACAAACACTGCCACACAATGCTAGTGAGTCATATGTGATGATTGAGAGGGATTCATTTTGAGTCTATATGTTGTTTTTTAGGAAAGACCTACATTGTTTTGTTTTTTTCCTCAAGTTTTTTGTATACATTAAAGTGGTGTCTCATAATGGTACACTACCACAATACTGTGTCAATGGAGGTATGGAGCATGGTCACAAATGGCACCTCTCTCTGGCCATGTTATGTAAGAAAAATGTGCACTTATCTACATCAGCATGTGATTGTCTATTCCTCTCCATAGTAAATAAGACATACGTGTGTGTCTTTATTCAGGCTGCTCCATTCCTGTAGCTCCAAAACAGAGCTTATAGGGCATTAGGCTGTATTTAGCAAATCCCCCTCCCTTCCTCCTCCCTTTTTCTACATTCCTCCACTAGTTGGCATGGTAGCGTTTGTCAGCTGCATAATCACTATACATATCTATTTATTTGTACAAATAAATGGTCAAATGTCAGCCTAGTTGCCACATACCTGTTGGGTACACTATATTGATGGTATTACAGTACACTGAGCAAATATCCATAATATTTTTACCTTTACACCAGCACAATAGTAAATCTCTCTCATGACTCACAGAGAACACTAGATGGCAGTGCAGGAGAAGATGCTATTTGTCTCACAGCTAAGGGAGTTAACAGGAGTGAGACACAAGGAGTAATGTACAAGAAGATGGGAGCGGGAAAGAGAAAGTGATTGAAAATGGAGCTTTAGAGAGAACAGAAAAGACGAAGTAGATAAGAGGACAAAAGAAGGGATGGCAGCAGAAAAAAATTAAAAGAGAGGTGCAACTGTAGTGAGGGGGTAGAGGGAAGGATGGGGGGGAAGGGAGTAAAAACTGGGGGCAGGGTGGGGACCCTCTTTTTGGGAGCATCTGCTGGGTGTTAAGACAGAAGAGCTGGCAAGGAAAGACAGAGCAGTGAAAGGAGGGAGGAGGCAAGTGACAGAACGAGTCACATAGAGGCAGCTTGACAAAAATAATGGGCTTAAAACAGGGAAAAGGGAGAAATCAGTAAATGAAAAGGAAAGAAGTGATGAATGAGAGAGAGTAAAAGAGATTTGGAAGGAGGGAGGGAGTCACCATCACATGGGTTTAAGCATGGCTTGGGAGGGTTCATTGGGCATAGAGAGGCACCGGCTAGCTCTTGTTAAAGGATGGCTGAAGACAGGGAGATAGGCAACAGACAAGGAATTCCAATAAACACACATTATATACAGTATAAATCCGTATGTATACAAAGTCATGTATGTGAACGCCCATAAACCACACACACTGCCGGATACTAAGACTGAATATTTTGTTTCCGCATATTTTCTTATTAGATATTGCTCATGCTTAATGAGAGGTCACATCAGTGCTAGAGAGTGGTGTCGCCTATTACTATATTTATGACGACCTAATACCTGAATACTGGGCTTCTGTAGGAATGGTCACCCAAACTTTGGCAGATTTTACTGTGTGTTGAACTGTTGATGTCCGAATGAGACATCCACAGATTACACAGAATGCACAGATTGGTGGCTGTAAAAAGGCCTTATGAACCAGTACTGAAGTTAGTTATACTTTTTATTGAGTAATATTAGGAAACTATGTGCAATAAACATGGACCAGCTGAGTGTAGAGGACTATATATTCTCTTCTGTGGAAGAACATGCAAGCTTTCCTGGGCCTTAAAAATAACAGAATGTAAGATTCTCTGACACAATAACTTTTTTTTCTTTTTTAAGGATCAAATTGTGCCACGCTGCTAATTTGCCAATTTTGATTATTTAATTATTAACATCATTAAGTCTTTTTGGTACTTTTTGCTCTTTATTTTTAATTTAATCTTGTACTTTTTTTATTACATTTATTTGTCTTTATGAAAACAGACTAAATACATTGGATTAAAGAAAAGGGATATTTATCATTGGAAATGAAGGAAAATTACTAAGATGAATTTTTAAAATTAATATGTTCTGTTTTCATATGTGCTTTATGGCTTACTATATGAGCTATACATGTAATATAATATAACATAAAAATAACATAAATAACAATCCTAGCACTAATACTAAGAACAGTACACTCAAATTGCTTGCTGTTTTCATTTCTTGTTAATTCACAGATTTAATAATTGACATTTTGGTGAAGCTTCACTTCACTGTTTAATTTGTTGTTGTTGTTTTGTAGGTTTGCCTAATTGTCAGTCTCCTCTCCTCTTTGGTTTATCCACATAAACATTCACCCCCCTCTTTCCCTCTCATTCTTTCTCCCTCTCTCTCCACCCTCTCATAGATAATTAATCAGCAAACACACACAAATGCAAGCGCACACCCCTCTCTGGGGGCTGTTCTGTCATCGGCCTTTCCTGCTCGTTGGTTGCAGCTGTAGCCTGCGTCGCCATAGCGTCACACTGATCGATCCTCGTCCCAGTGCAGTGGGAAAGCACAGAGACAGAAAAAGACAGCGGAGTGAAACAGACTGGCAGAGAGAGGGGAAGGTGGGAGGGAACGGGGAGAGAAAGAGAGGGCAGAGTGAAACCACACCTTATTCCAGGGGGGGGCGGGACACAGGCAGTGACACACAAGCAGCTAATACAGGAATAGTCACTGAGCAGGAGGGTTAAATATTTTGTGCAGTGGTGTGTTATAATAGAGTCAGTGTATGTGTGCGTCCTCAACATGAGTTGTCACTTGGCTCACACCTGCACGTCACTCTCTCCGCGAGCAAATAATTAATGTCATTCACCTCTGGCAGGCTCGGCACATTGCACTGACATAAGGTAGGGTGCAGGGGAGGGGTGTGTGTGTGTGTGTGTCTGTCTGTCTGTGTGTGTCTGTGTGTGTGTGTGTCTGTGTGTGCATGTGTATTTAGCACTTTTGTGTATGTTCTGTATTTACTCTGTACATGCCTGATGGCTTTTTCTGTGCCTCTATTTGGATGTGTAAACCTGTGTGTATTTAGTGTATGCGCACAATTATTTGTCAAGCAAGAGAGGTTACTAATGTAGCGTTCTCTTGGGCCATGGTGTCAGGAGATTCAAGCTGTAAGCCATGTGACTCTACAAAGAGCTGCCGGGATTGGCTGAGGCCATCTCTGACCTCAGCAAACTGCCTCCGCCCCTCCTCAACACTACCACCCCCTCCACCCTCCCACCTCTGCCAAACACACATACACACACATAACCCTCCCTCCCTCTCAGTCTCTCCGCCTCCCTCCCTCTCTCTACCCTGCCTCTTTATTTATTTATTTTTTTCCTCCAGTTAGCTTTTCCCCCACCTCTCAGCATCCTCGACTGAATGTGTAGGTTAGAGCCGCAGTAGCAGCAGCAGCAGCAGCAGCAGCAGTAGTAGCAGCAGCATCCTCCATGGCTTAAGCCCCAGCTCTTATCGGCAGCCAGCCCGGCCAGGCCCCTACCCCTCCTCTCTCCTCTCTCTCTCTCTCTCTCTCTCTCTCTCTCTCTCTCTCTCTCTCTCTCTCTCTACCTCCTGGGCTAGTTGACAGGCGACGTCTGGGGGTGTTGGAGGCTCACAGTTAGCCAGGGCGTTAGCCACATGCACACGGCTGCTCTGCTGCCCATCAATTCTACTGTATCTCTGTGGTAACCTGGGGGCTTCTTCTTTTCTCCCCCTCCCCACACCTCCTGCTTTCATTTCAGGCTCCTTGGAGATAGAGGAATGCAAATCTGCAACCATGATGGAAGGTGAGGTGATTTTTAAATTTTTTTTATTATTATCAGTCTGTCCCGTTTTCTGTTGTAATTCAGGGTAATCCCCCTTTATGTCCTTGTCCTACAGCGCTTCATCTGATGGCAAGCGTCTATGTCTGTGTGTGTTTGGGAGGTTCAAATGTCATAAGCTGCCCTGCTATTTTGAGTGCATACATTCCAGTGACTTGCATGTTATTCTTAGGAAAAGGGCACATCCACTGAATGTCTACCACAGAGGCACAATGGCGAAGCTAATTGAACCGTGTGTACCTTTTGTGAGTGAGTGAGTGAGTGAGTGTGTGTGTGTGTGTGTGTGTATGTGTGTGCGTGCATATGTCTGAGTGCCCCCCAACCCCCCTTTTTCCCGCTTCCCATCGTAAAGGATTATTTGGATTTATTGTGCAGGAGGGCTTATGTGCCCAGCTGGCTCACTTGTATAAATTCTCTTTGTATGGTGTACTCTGAAACACATGCACACACGCGCATACACACTCACAGTAGCGTATGACTCTGCTCACACTACATTGCCATTTTACCCAGCACTCGCGTGTGGTTTGCATGTGCGTACGGGTGGATGCATGCGTACATTTGTACCCACCCAGCGTTGGACTGATCCATCTCTGTTGGGTTGAGTGTAATGAGGAAAAAGATAACTGATGATTGTTTTAGTTTCATGTCCCTTTAATTGATGACATCATCAGGAGGAAGGCCAGTGATGGAAGGATGAATCCCTACAGCTCTGCAGCTGGCACACGAAAGCATCCATCCATCCGTCTGTTTCATATTATATCTTTTATGTTGCTCAGGCATCCTATATTTAACGACCACTTGCCATTTGTTTGACCAGAACAACCTAGATATGTTGACATTTACTGAATCAACCTTGAATTATGTAAGCTGTGATAGTCCACGATATGTTTTTTTTTTTTTTTTTTTTTTAGGCAGTGAACATGGGAGAAATAAGGATGAAATAATAATCAAATGAAGTGTCATTTTTTGATTGTATTCCAAAAAAGCTAGATGGTGTTGTCATTCAAACCTGTTTATTCTGGTGCGTTTAACAAATGAGCCAAGGAAGAATCTCATTAGCTTGTCCTCTGGTTGTGTTTGTGTATATGTGTGTCTGTCTATGAGTGTTTCGAAAAGGAATTACATTACTGCTGTCCAGTTATATGTTGTTCACAGCAATCCCATACCAGAGAATACAAAATGTTGTTTCATAGTTATAGGCAGGTCATTTAACGGTGGGCAGGAACTTATGTATTCATTTTAAAGTTGGAGCTCTCAGATAGTTGGCAGTTTGTAGCACTTCTCAGCCATACATGTCACCACTTTTTTTCAAATGCTGAGCCTATTGGCTTGAAGCATGGTGCATGTTTCTGTAAGGATGTCATGGTGGTGCGGTTATGTTGACAGAATTGGCAGTAACAATATCATGACCACAAGGCCAGCTAGTAGAGGAGTGTAGACCATGAAAACAGTCAAAGAACGATTCAGTCATTCAGGCTTTATGTTACTATAAGGGAAATTTGGTTTGCCGAGAAGTTAACACTTGAGTAAAACACAGAAAAAAATCAGCCACATGCCAAATAGGAAGTTATCTCATATAATACAATGAAAACTGCTTTCAAAGCTGCCGTATAACCGTGTAATGAATTGAAAGGCTTATCTGACTAAATGGTACAGTAAATCTGTTGAGCTTAACAACTTTCCAACAGTCTTATTTGTAGGTTACCCTGATTTAGACCAGTCTTCACGTCCATTCCCATTGTTAACTGCCCATGCATGCAAAAATTAAGGTCTGTGATTTCTGGCCAGCTGTGTTATGTCAAAATAGATCTAAATTTAAATTGAATGAATTATATTTTAATCAGTTGCAGTGTCTGATTCATCAATAATGGCTTCCTTCTAAATGTTTTTATAGCAGTGTATTACACTCCCATGCTACTGTATTATGAAAAGGGCAAGCAAGTCAGCCTGACAGTCTGGAGCAGGTTCTAATGACAACAAACAAAACGGCGTCTCTGTTTGTCACATACATGTCGTCATACAAACTGCTCAGTAAGTTATAATTGAGATGATAACCACGATAGATTATACATCATTTCTGCCCTCTTCAGATTTAGGACAGAGATGCGTTTGTAGCAAACAGCCACTTTATGCACAGTGATGTCAAATAAGCTCATGCTGATTGCACAGGTATAGATGATTAAATATTGGATCTCTCGGGGCAATACTAACAGACAGCCCAATATCCATATAGTTAATGATCAAACCAAAGTGACTGATTCTGTGTATTCACTTTGGTATGTGGTTTGTGGTACAGTTTGTGTTGAAGGCAAAGCTTAGTCCTTGCACAGTCTTGATCAGTAAAATAAGATGGTGGTTTGGTCTAAAAGGCACTAATCTTTTTTAATATTTTGCCTTGGTATTAATAGTAAACTTCTAGCTTTTTTTTTAACTTAATCACAGTTGTACACTAACAGAACTGATTGATCTCCATGCTGTCTTGTCATCGGCCACATTTGTCACGAGCCAAGTTGTTAGGTAACAGTTGTGAAGAAAAAAAACAGGCTGCGAACCACTTCCCTTCCATTAGCATGGCTAGCACAGGCTTAGCATGGACTGTGTGAGGGCAGGATTACAGTCAGGTGTTAAAATTGGATGCTAATCCTTGTTAGCTCTGCTTTTTAAAGCCCCATGCCGTGGCCAGCGTGGTTGTCCCTGCATAACACACAGGGTAGAAGACATGGGCTGATTACTTCATTTTAGTTGAAAGGGAGAGGGGCAGGCCTTGAATTGTTTGTGCTAGTGTTAGTGACCCCCTTCCCTTTTAGACACAATATAGCAGATTAAAAATCTGATTGCACCAAATATAACTGCTGGTGAACTGTGGCCTCCAACTGATGATCATAATAAGGCAATTTCCCTACCAAAATTCAGACATGCTTTCAGAAAGATTTTTCCTTAAAAGACCCTCTTCCTCTATAATTTACAGAGCTCTAATAGTACTTAACATAATCATTTGCTATGAATTTCCTGAGTTTACTGCAAGTGGGATAACTGCATTTGCAGTTGTGGTGCGCAGTGTGTATACATTATTGCTAGGCAGATGTCATTTTAAGTAGCAAATCTCCCATATGCTTTTCGGTACTCACGAGAGCCTGCCCTTGTGTGTGGTTTACTCAGCTCTCCTCAAGGTAATCATACTGGTGCAGCATGGGATTCCTGTTCCTGTTGGACTTTGTAGGAGCTATACGGAGGAGGCTAGGAAATCATCAAGACAAAAGTGAAGTTAAATAATCACATTTCTATCTGTATAAGAACAGTGTATCACTGTCCATCCATCTAAATCTAACACAGATTACCATGAAATATGGCATGACATTTATGGTACCCATGATCCATAATTGATTTGGTAACACTTTCAACTAGCACCACATTTAGTCAAAGGGACATCTTATCTAAAAAAAACAATGGATTAATTACCAGGCAGTTTGCTGTGCATATTCCTGGTCCCCCAGAGGATTAATCCTAATGTGTTAACTGACCTTCTGACCTTTCCTCTACTGCTAGCATCAAGCCAAAACGTCCCCACACAAGAAATGACATCAAAATTTAACAGGCGGACTACCACAACATTTTCTCAGTCTTGTCTTTAGATTGTATAAAATTTAGCTGACCATCTTTATGCTCCCAATGGGAAAATCCTGAACCCATGGAATTTCCTGTAGCACCATCATCATGACAACAAAGTTAATGTTGTATCCCAGCACTGATAGGGCTCTAAGAATAGCAAAATTAGTATGTTGTTAGTGTTTCTTCAGTATGTTGTTAGAGTGCCGTTGACTCCATCCAATAATTTCGTGGGTTTTAATGAACACTGCAGCCTCCCATGGCCACTAGCAGAGCTTCAGACTTCAGTCTTGTTAATCCTGGTTAGGAATCAGACTGTCACAGGGAGGTCTAGTACTTAGAACTTGCCTGTCTGAAACTTGGATAAACCCTTGACTGGAATGCTACAGAGTAGAGGGCAGAGAGGACACAAGGCCATATGGCGGGCTCCAGTTTATTTCTTTAATGGTTTATTACTTGACTTTATATGAAATAATAACTTACTAAATAAATAAATAAATGAATAATCTTAATGATTTGCTTTTGGGAGTTGATTTGTAAATTATGTCAGTATAATTGTTTGGTTTCATTATAATACATTGCATTAAGGGGATGTTTTATTTTTCTGCCACACAAACTCAATCAAACAACACTGATAACATTGTCTTTGTAGCTTAGTTATGTTATAATTGCATTATCTGTTTGTGGAGGTAATGTTTTGTTCAGACATATCATATAATTCTGACAAACATGCAACTGTTCCAGCCTATCAGACACAATCACTGTGACATAGTGTTACCACAAACAACATTAACCTATCATTTTGAGAAGCCTTGGAGAAGGATCAGTGACGTCGAAATAGCATGTCAGCATATCTCCGGTCAACTCTGCTCAATGTACAATCGCATCCAGTAGTCTCCAACTAGCTCAGAAGGACTCTGTTGCCATATGGTTTCCCGGGTAACGACTGTGAGGCTGACTCATGTCTGTTTTGGTAATGAGTTGGGCAGAGGCTCCCAAGTGCAAATTTTCATTGATTTCTGAATAAATAGGCATTTAGTGTGATGATGTGAGCACAGAAATGGAAAAGGACAGAGCATGTGGTCTGTACATGTATCTGAAAACAATGTCAATGGTACGTTTTATTTTTTTTTCTTGCTGCCTTATGCACAATGATTGCTATACTCCTCCCTGTTGCAGACCCAAATTAGTAATTTAGTGTCTTGCCATTGGCCCAAACACATAACTCATGTGGGCTGATGCATCGGAAACAGCCCTCAGTGGCCCAGCAAATGAAGAAATGTTATGATTGTATGAAACAGAGAAGCATACCGTCTGGAAATGTTGAATGCAGAATTGCATCTCCCTGCCATGCCTCA